TCCACAAGAATTTAAGAATACTTATGACCCACTGCAAAATTGTTTTCATAATCCCAAAGTTTACTCACATTTCCTCGGTTCTTGAATGCGTGGGTTCAGTTTTACGTGATAGGCACTCGCCAATCCAGCCGTGTTTGTTGTGGACTCTTTACAATACCTTCGTGGGGGTACACCATCCACGACTTAAGAGAGATCCCACTTCGTATCATTAAGTTTTTAGATCTTTGACAATTTTCGCTTCCCACCTGGGGGGTAACAAAACGATTTGGACCTTTCTCAATTACAAAATGGTTAATTACGCTATTTTTCAAAGAAATATATCATGAAAAGGCAGAGAAAGAATGAAGCACCAGCCGTGATAAGTTTCAGTAAAATTTTGCGGCTTCGTGCGGTCGAATTAATAATACCATTCGCTAGAAACTATTTTAGCATGGACATTGGCAGTTTAGAAGCTTGCTCAAACGAAGAGATAATGAATCTTTTGAGAGATCGAGAGAGCCTTTTTTTGTAGACTTAAAGATATCATTATATTCACGAAAACCTTTTTCTTTTCGGACAACGCAAGGATTTGCATAAGAAAAAGGGAAAATGCACACACAAAGTTGTTGAACTAGCTTGTTTGTTTATACAGTGAAAATCTACCTTCCCTGCTCGGAAAGATTACGGAAAGAAGATTAACTTGTATCCGTGATGAAAAATGTGGGAGAACTTCACTGGTGCTATATAAGTTTTTCGAGGGCAGTTGAAGCAAGTACCTGCAAGCCATTTATACAGGGTCGTCTTTAGACTACGAAGCGAATTGGTCTTTGTGTTTAGTCACTCGTGATGGTTTAACTAGTGAGATGGTTGTTGTTCGAGGCGATTTGGCTATATTTTCCCGGCTGAAAAGCTTTTTACGTGTTCACAATTATCCGCAAAAATGTGGGATATTTATCTGTAAAATGAACGTGTAGTCACTCTTGTATTTTTTTTATCTCCCGAAACCGAGGTATGTTCTACATGATAACAGGCGAATATTACAGGCATAAGTTTTCAACTGAAAATTACTACAAACATGAAGATTTTAAAGGGAAAAATTGAAGCTTACCTGACCCCGAATTCTGAATTGATAAAAAATAATTGTATATAGTTTTAAGTTTATCTAGGTCTATCGATCTAAGTGTAAGTGAGGCCAAATGTATATCTGCTACAGAGATTGCGGCTAAAAACGCAGTTAGGGACTTAATTCGCTGTAAAATTGTACCGTGCGATATAGCAAACGCGTGGTTAGATAATTTCGCTTTTTCTCCACTTATCCTGGCCATTAAGACAAGTTACAATTTTCAACTTAAAATTGTGCAACGGCTTAAGCATTAACCCTGGTTAGGTTGATAAAATGCTTTACCTTGTTCGCGTTTCAAGGCCCAGCTTCGGCGGGATGAGTTAAGTTACGCTTGACGCTGAGAGTTCGTGAAATCGCCGAGAAACGGCTGTGGCAGTACTCAAGATCCTGTAGATTTTGCGTCGCTCGTTTTCCAACTTTGAATTATATTTTCTGTAGGTCCACGCGTTGATCTCTGTATTATTCATTTCATTTCGACATCTCCAAACATGAACAGCTGGTGTCGACAACCATTCATTCTTGTCGCGGTTTAATTCATGCAGTATGACAGCTTTCGGTTCAAAGTGTCTCTTTGTCAATGTCCGTAGTTCAAGTCAGCTACGATAAAGCTTCGCAATTTAACTTGAGTGACAAACTCTGTTGAGAACAAACTCCTGATGATCGAGTTGCCAAGGAAAACTATCCCGCAAATTGAATTTAAATGCGCTTCGAACAAAAAGCTCAAACGCTTTTTTCTTGATGGGATAATAACTTGGGATAAATTGTGCCACCATTAATTGGAATCAAAATGCAAACGCAAACGCAAACGAATCGCCAAGGAGGTTTTTTAATTTGATAGTGAGAGTTTTTGTCAGAAGCGAATATTTTGCACGTATGCAATTATTATTGGTTTTTTTTTTCAGTTTTAGGTGAAGCACTTTCCCTTTCAAGGAATTGATAATTTCATCATTGTTTAAAGTCATACTTTAGGATAGATGAAAATTGTTTTTAAAACAGAAGTAAACTTGAAATTTACTTTGTTTGCTAGTTTGGTCCAACATCGAATAGAAACTGTGAATAACTTATTGAGGAACAGCTGGGGTGGCTTAGGATGGAGGCGATTGAGTCGGATTGAAAGTAATTTTAGAATAATAGTTTGATAAGATAGAAAAACACAAAAGAGGCAAAGATAAAACTGTAAGGGACTGGAAGGAGGTTGGCGCGGATTGCGAATAGCAAAGTTTACTTTAATCTTCATACCAAGTTTGCGAGATGCCCAAACCGTAACTGATATTGCAACTAAACGTCTGCATGTCACCAAACTTAACATGTACTTAAAAAATTGTGGTTGATAAATGAGAAGCTCTTGTATTGGCATATTTTACAAGAGCGTAAATGCACGGAATGTTAAAAGTACTTAGTTTTCAAAATAAGGCCGTATTTGCTTTTGCCTTTTCTTTCCCATCATTTTTCCCCTTCTTTGGTTGTTCTCTAAAGGACGTACCGTTCAATAATTCAATGAGTGGAAGAAACTAACCTTCGCTTTTATGCGAAAAAAATTGTAATAAAAATTAGCAAAGAAAAAAACGCATTACTTTAATTAATAAAAGCAGTAACTACGAATATCCTAAAGATGTCGATTGGCAAATGTAGTTTCTCTGAAATCGTATCTTGGAAACAGTCATGGTAACCTTCTGATGCCCAGCAGAATATTGCTTTGTACTTCCCCTTTTTTATTCAGAGCATATTCCGGGGAATTAACTCCATGAAAGGGGAAAGTCATAAACGAAAGGGATTATGCACAGAATTAGACAATGTAACCTGGTAGCTTGTGTGGTATTTTAACTTTACTTACTGAGTCCTCGTATAAATCGGTTATATTGCGTGGTATAGTGACCAAAAATTATCCGCTAAGGAGCTTCGATTTGGCGAAAGAGTTTATCTGATGACGTGGTTTCCGCACAAGTGGTCGGAAACGTTCGTAAATTATTGTGACAACCGTTCTTTTAGAGACTAGAGTTGCCTTGGCGAAGACCTAGTAGATCTTCCAGAAATCTGTTTAAATTAATTGAGATCGTCCAAACATCTGTTTAAATTAAAGAAAAGGAGAGAAACCACAGCCACCAAATTTGAAAGAAGTGGAGCGTTTGCAGTGCCACGTATCCTCAACTGACTTAAGCCTTCACTCCCAAGGTCTAAAAAGTCGATCCTCAACACCGTCTGCCGAACATTTCTCATCAACTTACCTCTAAGAATTTGGTTTTAGATCAGACAATATTCCCTTGTTGGTATTTTCTTCTTTTTCATCACTTTTATGCTCGAGGCTTTATCACTCCTGGAAATGAGATAGTTAAGGGAATACGTTGCGAAATTTTAATTCTTTTCCTTCCAGAATTTAGGATCGACTCTAAATTTAGGAAAGCTGAGAAATGTTAGTTTCGTATGTTAGGGAACTAACACCAATACGGGAAGACGTGATCAAAAAAGGAGTTGGAGTGGCTTAGGATGGAGAGGACAGGCGCGGATCCCAAAGGTCGCACTTAATAAGCAATTTCCCCCCATCAGAACTTAGAAGCTGCTTCATGATTCTCGTGATTTGTTTACTGCAAACTTTTTTGATATTTAAAAGAGAAGTTAACTACTTGTTGAGCAGATCTGAGCCTTGCTGAATTTCAGGCCGTGTGACTGGCAATAATAACAAATGAATAAAGGAGGTAAGTTTGTAAAGAAACTGTGGTGCTGCGTCGGTGAGAGTATAGCAGGTAATTTAGTGTTAACAACTGAGTTGAAAACATAAATTGACACCGTAAAAGGTAAAAAAGCTTTTATCCTTTACGGTGGCCAATTTACGTTTTCAACTCAGTTGTTAACACTAAATTACCTGGCGATGATGACAACCGTCCATCAATGGCATAAATTACGGACAACAAAGTGGGCATAAATTATAGATATGAAACTAGCCTCCTACGGCGCCACTCTTATAATTATTCATACTTATGGCAACAACGATCCGGGTGGCCTCGTCTCTTAGTGCTAATTAGTCCACGCCTGCTGTTAGAAAGAGAATGGCTAAAATGGCTTTTGAAAGCTTGTTATTGTCATATTTATAACCCAGAGGATTTATTTAACACTCATAAACCCTTCGAGCCACTGGTATTCAAAACGTGCATCTCAAACACATCCAAAAGACCACCCGTTCCGTTGAAGCCTTTTGAAAACGATGGAGAAAATGAAATGAAGAAGTATTTTTGACAATAACATTTGGCAAAACCATTTTGAAACTGCAATGTTAACGTAACCTTCTTAGAAACTTGGAAAGGCGCCGAAAGAATTGTTGTGATAATTTTTCTCATGACATTGACGCCAGACCAAATTGTATAACGCTGAACAACAAAGAGCTAATTAGACAAAAATTCCTTGTTATTACATCAATTACCAAGCCAACAAGCTACCAAGTTGCCACCCAAATATTCTCTTTTATTCTAATTTTTTGGGGACGACATGCGTTTCATTCAGTTTTATTCAGTTCGTTGGACTATCCCTCTGAGTAATGTGACATGTTGGGAAATTCGAAAAGAATCCGTTTACTTCTTTATGTATTTTCTGCTGCTGGAACAGAAAATCACAAAATTATATTCTAAACAATTCAAGAAACGAATTCAAATTTTTGTGTCGTCTCTCTTCCAAACATGGGCGGTAAACCCGGATGGTGCGAACTGGATTGTGGGTCAGCCTTTTCGCTCCCCACCGTCTCAGGCTGTTCTTTAACAAAAACTGTCTAATAAGAGATAAAAAATAACAGAAAGAGGGTCTAATTCACTGCCTTTATTCTTATCTCCATGACAAAAGCGTTCACACTTCTGGATTCTTTACTTTGACATAACTAGATCGCGGGCTCTTTTTCTGCACTTCATCAGACGTAACCAGGCCACACCAAAGTGGTTTTGAGGTTGGTCGTCATAAAAGAGGTTAACAATCTAGTCTACTTCAAGACCACTTGGATTTAAAGAAAAAATATAGAACAAAATGATGAAATAATAATGATATATAATGATCTCAACAAATAATTCTAATAAATAACAAAATAATAAGCAAATCAAATACAAAGTAATCTGCGTTTTAAATACGTCTATCTCTGCCATTACATTTTCCATTTTGATAGATCTTTTCTTATGTAAGGTTCTACTATGCAAATGGTATCTTTCTGTTGTTAAGTCGGAGTGGTATTTGTAGTCTCGCCTAAATTATGTTTAAGAGTCAGTCAGTCTCAGTCAGTCAGTCAGTCAGTTGATCGGTAGGTAAATCACTTAGTCAGTATGTCACACACTTAGTACGTCACAGTTAGTCAGTACGTCACACAGTCAGTCAGTTGGTCGGTAAGTAAATCACTCAGTCAGTAGGTCACATAGTAAGCCAGTCAGCGAAACCACCAGTCAGTTTGCTGGTAACCCACGTGACCATTCTATTAGCGGCAGCCAATCACAATCCCTAAACCAGGCAGACGTTGATCGGTCAGACAGACACAAATTGGGTCATTTTAAAAAGTCAATCAGTTGGTGAGCAAATCAGTGACTCGTCCAATCATTGGTTCAGTTCATCATCATTATAATCTTGATCAATTCTTCTATTATCCATCAAATATTTCCGCTCGTGGGCGATTGGTTTGAAACGCTTAACCAAAAACCTGGGCAATATCCGGTGATATTTCTCCAATTGTCAAACGTTACCTCCAATGCGATAACAGTCTTTCTCTAAAGGTGGAATCAAGTTTAGAGAGAGAGTGTTGGTACAGTTTCCAAAGAAGAAAATAAACTGGAGGTTATAAAGTTGCTATAAAAGTCAACATCTGTTTTCGACAGTAAGCTGATTACATACGTTTCATTCCGCACGCTACGAATAATATTTGAAGGATAATAAGCACAAAGCCTCCACTTAGCTTGAAAATATGCAAGGATATTTATACTGGTACAATATCTGTTCCTCGAAGCTAAGTTTTCCTCGGGGCTTTTCGGACCACATAATGTCCACAAAAAATTTTCGAGCACATCCTCGTGCCGAATGGAAACTGTTCATCATAACTTATTTCGACGTAAAATTAATCTCATGACTAAAATGTTTACCATAAAACTCTACTGTTCATTTGAACCTAACATTTATATATATTCTATGGATTTTCTTGGAAATAAGTTATAAAAGAGCCTCAATGTCCTTCGCGATGTCCTGTAAGAACAATCAAGTAAGATATGAGTGTACAGAGCGTTTACCTTAATAAACCGGGGGGGGGGGAGGAATCAGAGGATTTTGGTTGTATCAAAATACGATTTACCTGATCCCCCACCAGACTCTTTAATTTTCTTATGATCCTTTCCCCTCCCCCCCCCCCAGTTTCTTCGTGGGCAGTTCATTGACAATCAACTTTCTCTAGTCCCATCTTTGTATTCTGTTGGCGGTGTCTGATCTCCCCTCTACTCTCGGCCCCCCCTGAAAAGCATGTAATCTTCCCAAAATCCTTCTTCCGCCCCCCCCCCTCCACCCCCTATAAATTATGACTGGCCCCTTAGCTGAAGACAAAGGGACATAATAACAAAAAACATAGGTTTTCTGATTACCTTAGCCCAAAAAAAAAAAATTGACTCACCAATGGCTGAACTGAAGGTGCATAACGTTTCACAGGTTTGCCATCTCGGTTGCACAAAAACTGTGGAGCCATAAAAGGGTGTTTAGAGATGAACAAAGTATTGCCGCAATGTTTCAAATTTGACTGACATTTTAATGCATGAAGGGGGTAAGTTTCTAAAGAAACTAGAGTGCTGCGTCGGTTGTAGAGGATAACAGGGTAATACAGGGTAATTTGGTATTATTAACTGAGCTGACAACGTAAATTGGTCACCATATAGAGTTTCAAAGCTGACGTTCCGAGCGTTAGCCCTTCATTGGAGCGAATCAGTCCGATTCCCATTCGCTCTGACAAAGGGCTGACGCTCGAAACGTCAGCTTGGGAACTCTTTACGATGACCAGTTTACGTTATCAACTCAGTCGATAATACTAAATTACCCTGACATTTAAATGCAACTGGTTCTACCGCAAACAGACAGAGTTGCAGACTGATGAAAATGACTTCACGTCCAATAAAACAAGGGTTTTAAAAATTTTTCCATAAGCAGCTGCCGATTGTATGCCAAGAAAGGGGCCGTAGGCGAAACCCAAACACGAGCGTCTAAACAGAGGACGGTAAGAGGTCTTATATGTGGCGGTACACCTCCGCAAACCGGCCTTTATTGAAGGTACGCAATGTGTGGAGTTAATGAGAAATTTATTTATTACACAAGGCGTAGTCGAACCTGTAATACAGATTCAGGAATTGTGAGATGGACAAGGAATGTAGCATCAGCAAATGTGTCCTTAAAGTAAACCTCAACTGAGTACCATCAACCAAAGAAGTCCCAACTGCCAATCAAATCGAATGCAAATATTCTTGGTTTAGGATTTTATCCGGTGATAATCAATAAGGATCAGTTCCGGATCCGTACCTACCTTTCCAAAATTCCACTTGATAAAGCTAAAAATAGAGAGAAGCAAATACATTTGAGAAACATCAGCTTAAGTCAACTAGAGTTTTTAACCAGAGACAGTTTTACCCATCAAAAAAAAGGAAAATGAAATCACCATGGAATCCTATTTGTGATTATGTTGGTGTCAAACGGTACGGTCTGATTTCGGAAACTAGCGTCCGATTTTGTCTCCGCCAAGTTTCTATCGTCACCGCCCTAAACAGGACGCAAGTTTCTGAAAGTAGACGATAAAGTACGGAAACGGACGCAAGTGTCCGAAATTGCACAGTACCGTCCGGAAAGAGACGTTTCCGAAATCGGACGAAACCGTTAGGTCACAAGTGTCCGTAATCGGACGGTCACGTCTGTAAACTAACGTAGGTATAGGAAACATATCACTCTACTGCTTACCTTCCCAAAGTTCCTTTCAGTCTACTTTTGAGGTATTTATACAACGGCAAGGCGTTGGCACCATTGACGTTTATCTTGGAGAACATATCAAATTGGACCCCGTATCCCGCGGCAAACTTCTTTATTACAGGCTCTGGATCAGGCTCCTTTCATAGAAAATAACAGGTAAAAGATCTCGAACAGCCGAACATTTAGCATGCAAGGTACCCATTAGCCCTTTAAACCCTACGAGTGACTAGTATCAAATTTCTCCTTACAATATCACCCCTGAATCACAGGTTGAGGTCATGAGAATAAAAGAAATGATCACTAACAAAAGAAGGTTTTGATTGGTAGACAGATTCTCCTTTTCAGCGCCTTAGGAAATGTATAAAGAGCATAATGGAGAATACGCATACAGATGTCAAAGTGTAAAGGGTTAATAGTGTTACGACACGAGCGTTTCTTAGCCCGCGATAGAGTTTGAGTCCTTACGTCAAGCGAACTGGCGAGAAGTCTGCTAGGGGTCTGGCACTAGTGGTGCCAGACCCGCACCTAACTCGTCTCAAATCTTCCCACGGGTGGAGATACGCGCGTCCTGCCGCGCTAGAATAGTAGTGAGGGCCTGTTCCCAGGCCCTCCCAGGTGAGTCATTATCATTTTGATTGAGTAAGCCAACAGCATAGAGATTACGACGACCAATCATAATGACGGAAAATATCACGAGGAGCTGGTAAACACACAGAGACAAACAAGCCAACAGCCTAAAGTGCGGAAAAGGCCCTGACAAAGTTGCAGTGGCTTTGTTAGGGATTTGTTTAGAGAGTGGGGCAAGTTTACTAAAGCAATCACAGAAAGAGCGAGGTAATTTAAAAACAATACTATTCGCCATTTTCTGGCGAGATGTTTCTCTCTAGGATGGGTGGGGTGGGGAGGGGGAAAGAAGGATGATAAAGAATTGTCCTGCGTGCCCACGTCTGAGGGGGGGTGGGGAGGAGTTACCCGAAGAACAATAAGACCTGAAAAACGTGACATACCTGTTTTCCAAACTGGTTACACGGGAACCCGAGAATACGAAGACCACGTGCAGCATAAGTGGCGTGCAGTTCCACAAGCTGCGTGTAGTTCTTCTGTGTTAAGCCTCAGAATGAAGCCACATTGACAATGAGAGTCACAAATCCCCTGCAAAGCGCATGGACAAATTAGTTTCTTGTCTCTGTGTACCTGTCATGAAACGTGTTATGCAAACGCTCCAAATGCACTTCAAAAGATGGAGTTGGACATAAAAAAACAAAAAAACTTGACTTTTGCTTCTCTCTTACCCGTATTTTTCAAGTGACACCTCATTTCCGTCAATGTCTTTGGCACTAAACTCAAAGATGGACTCAGCATTCTTTACTTGATCCTCCACCTCCTAAAATGAAACAAATGTCATTCATATATACCTCCTTAAAGAGTAAATTGGCATGCCTAAAGGTTCCCAATAGGTACCCTAGTGAGTTTAGAATCCCAAGCACAACCCCTTCCCTCCCCTCCCTGCTTTTTCCTGCTCCTCTCCTGTCTTACCCTAACTTACCTCTTCAGTTTGGCCAGTGACTGCTCCTGACTTCTCGAAAGCTTTTAACCACGACAACTGCTCTTCGTCGGAGGTGAAGGCAAGCCGCAAATCTAGTTTATAGAGAAAACAATTCTACATTAATCACCAATGGACACAGCCTCTTCCAGTGCCACATATGAAAATTGTTCCTTTATCAAACAGATTGCAAATACCCGCTGAGATTTTTTTAGTGATGCTTTCAAATTGTTTGCTGGATACTGGATAAAATTTCTTTAGATTCTTTAGTAAAAGAAAAATAAACTACGCTAGCTGTGTGTACAAACCTGTGTACATCCTCGTATACTACAGCTGTGCCCGAAATTGTTTAGTTCTCCCCACAACATACGACACTACACACAAAGGCTGATGTAAAAAAAAAAAAAAATAGTGACTTACCCGACCTCTGGATATCAGCAAACGTTAGCGAAAGACAAAACTTTGTTGACTGGTCTAACTTCACGGTAGCCTCTTTCAATGGATATTTCTTGGTTGGTGTTGAATGCTAAAGAGAAGGAAAAATAAACTCCAGCCATGCCCTCTTTTGAAATGTAAATTAATATTGCTTTTTACTACACTGAACTTTACTCGCGTGTAAATTTATATCTAAGTCAATTGCTCTTTCAGGCTATGAGGATTAAGTATCAAACAATCATCAAATTTTAAGTTTCTCCTACCAAATCAGTTCTGAACTCGTACAGTGTTTCATCGCCAGGTCTCAGAACAAAAAATGCCTGATACCATTTCAGAAGACCCTTTTTTTGCGCTGAACCAAACTTGGTGCCACAGTCCTGTTTTAGTGAGGCCACAGACGGACCAGCTGGTGACAGATGGGGAGGATCTGGGAAAGAGCAAAGAATACATCAATAGAAACGTGTTCAGCAAGCAGTACCGCTTCATGTTTTTAAAAAGGGCATAAGGCATGAGAAAGGGGCTTGTCGGCTGAAGTCAGGTGAACTCAGAGCATCACTCCATGCTACAACTATTTCATTCAAATTGGCAAAAAGAATTAAATTTTCAAGGTTTACGAGAAAATTTGCTTATTTGGCAATCTGTGTTCAATTGTCATGCAGCAATTTGTAATCTATTTTCTACTTCATTTTCAAGGTCAAAAGGCAAAGCTAGATAAACATATTTGTACAATAATGTTCCTGCTCTGTCACTTTCTTATACAGACACAGAGCACAAAGTGCACTTTTCATTTTTCTATTCACCGCATCTTTTCTCTAACAACCAAAATCTGATTTTAGGGCACCAACCAAGGACTTTTAAGGCTCAGCTTTATGAGGTATTGTTGCAAGTGTTTCTGACTGTCATACAAGCTGAAATCTTTCAAAGTTTTATTAAGCCCAGAGTTAATTATAAATTAGAATTTTCAATTTTAGGACACTCTCGAACATGATTGCAAGTTTCCCTATAAGGAGACCATACTTTTCCAATATACCCAATCTGACTCCATTTGTCTATGGTAGAGGAATACTTTTTAAGCATCTTTGCGAATCTACTTCCTGTATGACATTTCCACCTCAAAAGGGACGTTTTATATCAAAAGACGACTAAACCATGAATCAACATCACACTAGGTAGATTCATTAACTCCCTTAAATTACTCGATTAAATTTGGGGGTGTTGGACAACCGTCAAACAGATCCAGTTTTTTTTGGTATTTTAATTCTTGATTGGTAACCAACTGAAGGTTATTTAAGTACCCATCATAAAGTGTTTGAAGGAGAGCTTCTAATTTTCATGCTTCTGATTCACAGATTACAAACATCAGTAAAACAAAGCACTATATTTTGTTCATTACCATCTTGTCGGAATCTGTAGAACAATTCCCTATCTTCAAAGTTATGTTCATCCACCACATGATGAACTAAGTCAGCATCTAGTAATTGCTAGAATTAAAAGATATGTGCATGTGAAATTAAAAAACAAAGGATCTAGCAGTAGTTAAGAAAGGGTTTTATTATGAGTATGGTAGCTTAATTATGAGAAAAAAACCCTTAGTTACTCCTAAAGGTAATGAATAGGACTACAAACAGACCATCTTTTTGGTGAATTCTGAGGCACAAGTAAAAACAGCAAAAAATATTGATAAGCTGAATTCTAGGAGTGAGGTGCAAAAAATATTGATAAGCTGAATTCTAGGAGTGAGGTGCAAAAAATATTGATAAGCTGAATTCTAGGAGTGAGGTGCAAAAAAGTAGCCTCCCCCACAGAGGTTAACTTTGCTGCAAAAGGAGGGATTGCTTGTAGTCTACATTCAAATACACACATCAAATAAATTAACTTACAGGATATACTATTGATCAGAAAAATTATAAACTTCCCCCCTCTTCCCCTTCACAGTTTGTTTGATCTTACATACCCAATTATGTGGTTTCAACACCTGTCCAGAATACTTGGCACTTCCTTGTTAGAAAATACACTTGCCATGCAGGCTACCTACCTATGTGGCAATTAAATATCCCTTTTAAGTGTCTAGACTACAGTTGTATCTGTGGCAGGATATCAAGCTGTGGTAAGTCAAAGCCCCAAATTTCCACTTATTAAATTCTGAAATTTTCACCTCTATTAACTGTTGTGGTCACCCTCAACTGAGTCCCAATGGCATTTTTGTATTACCTTTCACCTGGCCACCTAAGGTAAAACCACTTAAATAAACCTTGAAGTACTATCTCTGGTCAAATTTATTCCAAGTTTATCCCCCAAAATCAATGTTAGCACTCAGAGTTCAGATGTCCTCAAAGCATTGCACTTAATCTCTCTTAGGACTGTCTGGACAAAATGGCGTTTTTGTCGCAAACCTGGAACCTGAATTTAGTTGTCAACCTAAAATTCCCTGTGGGTGACCATGTACTACATGTTCTACCTGAATTACACAGCGTGTGTAAAAGCACTCACCTGGCCTAACTGAATACCTTCCTGTCTTGTGGTTGCAAATCCATTTGCAAGAAACCAATCAATTGCTTCACTACCTTATGGCAAAAATATTAAGGTAGTAGTTAATTGGAAATTGACCTCAGGACATTATAGGTAGTGATTAACATGTAACTTTTACCTCAAATATACTTTAAATATCCAGCAAACAGGTAATGAAAATACTCAAACTTATCAGGTAGAAGTTATCCTCTTGATATTACTCCAAATTATCCTCTTAAGATTCCCATGAAATGTGTAGCAGTTTTAAAGACGAATGAACAATCAGATCTTGGGAGTTAAAGGGTTAAATTTCCTTATCACATTGCTTGTTCCATTTATATTCGGGGTGGGAGGGGAGAGGCACCATGATGTATCTTATAGTAGATACTTTAAGTATAATTAAAAATTATTGGGTAAGGTTGAGAATGATATCATGAAATATGGCAGGCATAAGGCAGATTAAACAGACACAAGGTTGATAATTCCTGATATCATGTGAAAAGGAAATTCAATAGTTCTTTTATTTTACATTTTTTTAACACAAACAGAATTTCTCTCTGAGTTTGCAAAAGCTTGAGAACATGACATTGGCAAGGGGCTTGGAAACTAAGCAGACTTTGAACCAGACTACCACAGGCATTAGGTTATCATGTCAACTTCACATGCTATGTTGATGTTTGTTGACTGAATGCTCCCAACCAATCAGAATTTTCATAGTAAGTCTAATGTACGATGATTACCAAATTATTAACTGAAGGGGTGGTGAAACCTGGTTAATATTCACCAAGCTGTGAGGCAGTACGGTAAATAACCACCACTTTCATCAATTATCAAGTGAGTAACTGTTTCAGTATATACCACACAAATATCATCTTTTTTTTTTAATATATTGAAAAATGGTCAGATATTAAACTCTTGACATGTGATTTTGTCTCATTGGCTGCTCAGAGGTAAATACTGCTTATGCTTCACTTCCGAACTAGCCAATCAACATGCACAAAAAGGACTTTTCACGTGTGTAGTATTTTGATACTAATGATAATTATTGGTACTCACCCACAAAGCAAGAATGATATTTTCTTAGATGATAATATCTGTCCTTTATTGTAAGTCCCCCATCAGCTGTTGAAGCTCTCAGCTTCAGAGAAATGGTTTCTATCTGAGAAGACCAAAAAGGAAAACTTGAAACCAAGATGTCTTAAACTTCTTGTTACAGAATGATAAGATTAAGACCTACATCACTTTATCAACTGATTTTGTGATTATAATCCCAGACTGCAATATTACGTGAGCCAAATACCATTTCACTATAATTCAATTTTCTAAAAATGGTGCCCTTTTAAACGTGAAGAAGACAGCTGGATTCTAATATCCAGTATTATTTGCTCAAGTTAGGCTTAGTTATTTATTGACCACGCCTTCTGTCAATTTCGGCTCGACAAATAAATGCTTTTTTTTTCTCTCGATGATTTACATAAGATTCGGTGCCCTTGTTTTTGCATTTGTGAACGTAAATTTTCCACGTCTTTCAAGGTAGAAACCGATGAGCGCTAGTTCTACATGCTACAATCTTGAAGTAAAGCAAATAAGAAACTCTAAGGCAAGGCCTTTTAAGTCCATCTTGCCAATAGTCTTAGAAGAACGAGGGATAACTAAGTAGGCTGAGAAGAATTGTTTCAACAAAATGTAAACAAATGTTCTGTGCCTATGATATCGCCACTTGGTCGTAAATTCTGCTTTTTACGGTCAGGTTACAACGACATATGGCTCTCCGTTGTCTAGTCAATTCCTTCCATTTCAAAACCAAAGACTGTTAAGTCGCACTGATGAAAGTGGATTAGTATTAATTCCATAGAATGAGCGCTCCAGCAGAATGACCCAAATTTTAACGAATCTCACGCCATCGAAGAATAGATGTCTTAGTTCACTAATTATGAGCTAATTACTTAATCAACCTAAGCGCTTGTAATTCAATACGCACCTTATCACGATCGATTTCACACATGATTGTAAATGCAGCTCCAGCGGACCAACGCTTTCCAACTATTCATCGTTATCGAAGGATTCCGGTTTAGCGTCCCTTACGTATTGAAAGAGTCACGTGATACATTTCCTTCTGTCACGCATCTCGTCACGCCATCAGCCCCCAGCCCGAACAAGCGCGATACACCTGGCCCCCTAAAAAGGGGTGCTGTGAGGGTTAGACCCCACTCCCAGACGCAAAATACTGCCTACACCGCAGGACTATTGTAGAAGAGAAATCTTTATTATGATACAGATATACAAGTTAGTCTACAGCCAGACCTTTCACCGCCATACACGGAAGGATCTACATACGAGTTTATAAATAAGTATTGAGTTTATAAATTTGACAGTGGTGAGACTTTAATAGTTAAAGTATATCATGTAAGCTGCTACTTTATGATCACACCAATTGAATATGAATTGCCTGCATCGGTTTATGTCCGAGTAAAAACGACCTGAGTCCATGTAGCCCATTGTACGAGTCTTACACAACATATTAAAAGGTTCTTTATGTGACTGAACATTTTTTTTTCAATTTATTCAAAGCCGGCAGTAAAGCGACCACTCGCTTTAGTCACAGTTGTAGCAACTTCTCCTCTTGCTATGGCGATAGCGTGTGCCCAGTGAGTGAAACACTTGGGTCCGTTTTCAGTTACCTCTTTCCTTCCCATCGCTGTCACGACATCTCCGTCATCTGTCACGACAATCAACTTAGGAATCGCTGTGACATGGTAACGATTCTTCAGCTCTTGAATCATTTCGCTACCAAATGGAACAGATAACCAGTCACCATGACATTTTTTCATGTATGTCTCCATATCTGATGCCGTTTTATCGGATGAAACAAAAACAATCTCGAAGGGTAGTTCGTTCTCCTTAAGCTCGTTGTAAAATTCCGCCAAAACTGGCGTAAACTGATTGCAAGGTGGACACCATCCCGCCGAGAAATACAATGCAACCACTTTACTCTGGAGGGCTTCTTCAGCGTGATTAACTACCCCAGACCTTCTAACAAGTTGTCGATCCCCAAAAATGTTCATTTGTGGACGTAATTACGTCTGAAACAGCGAAATCACGACAGAGGCATGACATCTGAGACTTCTGTACATAGCAACAGCGGATTACCAGTTGCGAACATCGGTCGGCATCGGTCAGCATTAGATCCGCCAAAACCACCTCGGTCGAGAGCGACTAAGATGGAATATTTAATAGCTTGCAAATCATAACCGAAGATTCTCGGAAATCCGCGAGGTGGATGTCCACTCCTAACATCCACCAAAACTACCTAACACCTTAGCAATATTTAAATATGTGAAATATCTGCAAAAATTGCGCCAAATGATTTATAATACTACTATCGAGCAATTAATTAATACTTGCTATTTCTTGGGTAAAAATTTTTGACGCAGTTCCCAAACAAATGGTACACACTCAGTTGATCGGGATAAATCGGCATGTTTTCGTAGCTTCATAATTTTTAATTGGTATAGCATGTCATGAGGTGTCCATCATTCTATCTCAGTCCCTCTCGACCGAGGTGGTTTTGGTGTGACATCACAATCCGTGGCGTATGATGACTTACAATAACGAGAAGAATAGTTAACATGGCGGGTCGAGCCGCTGTAGGGGCGGCGGTTAGAGCAGTCAATAAACCGAGGAAATTTGCCGCTAGAAGAGCTGCAATTACACTAGTAAGTCTAACAAATAGTAGAATATTTCTGTTACGATTGAATAGTCGTCATACGGGGCAACAGTAAGTTTACGTAACATCAAGTTGGTTGCATATCTACTAGTGGCAAATTTACGATTTGAGAGACTTCTCGCAGTGGCCTCTCAACTATTTTATCACAGCTTGACTTCGTCCTATTCCAGAATTTATAAATCTACCATTCCACTTTTAATTTAATGTGTTCAATCAAACAATTTTAGTTTATCCCATTTATACACGCTGCAACACGATCTTATGTAATCAAAACGTCGAAGAAGTGGATATTGATTTGAAATATCTCTGTTTTTTTTTCATTTTCTTTTTTTATGATGAACTGAAGCCTTCACTCACTTTGATTGTTTATGACTCATGATTTATGGCTAAACTGACGATTAAATGACGTCACCTTAAACAGTATTTAGCTTTTTTAGTTTTAATCTTAAAAAACAAATAGATTCAATGCTGCCTTCGGTCTGTTTTACAAATAGATTACACGTCGTTGTGCATCTGTTCAGTAATAGACCACAGATGATGTCAAAATGTGGGGATAAGTAAAGTATTATATTATTAATAGTTACATCATCCTTGCATCATTTTTCCTCTGCTAGATCTTAAGAACCCATCAAAATGAGTACCATGTAATCAGTATTATATAATAAGTTCAGCTATGCACACATTCTGATTGGTTCTCACTTATGATCTATTGGAGGACAAACATATAGATGACATCATCATTAAAACTTTTTTTAATTCTTTATTATATGAAACAGATAGATTCCAAGTTGCCATGCGTCTGTTCAGTAATAGATCACAGAGGACGTCAAAATGTGGTATGAACATCAGTGACACAATCTGCTGTGCCTTGTTTGCCACTTTTTTGTTCTTACCTCATTTTGACATCATCTGTGATCTATTACTGAACAGCTGCACGGCAACTTGGAATCTATTTGTTAAATAGCTCACAGAAGTCTATCAGTCAAGTAGACAATTTCTTTACCCTTTAACTCCCAAGATCTCATTAGTAATTCTCCTTGCTGTCTACCATACAGTTCTTGTGATGTAAATTTAGAAAATTTGGTGTTGGGTTAACTTATAATCCCCTAATTGATATTTTTCTTTATTCGCATCACTTGTCTGCTTGATATTGTTTTGATATTGTAAGGAGAAATTCTGTCTTGGTAGCTCATGGGAGTTAAAGGGTTCACCTCCAGGAGTGATTAACACGTAACTTCTCCCCATAATATCAATACACCATCCAGAAAACAGATAATGAGGATATGCAAACTTAACAGGTAGAAGTTATCTTGATCCAGCATCAAATTCTCATCACTATTTAACAGGGAAATGTGTAGCAGCTGGAGGTGGGGCTGAACAATTAGATCTTGGTAGTTTAAGTGCTAATAAAAGTAATGAAACTTTTAGTCCAATTTGCTTGTAGCAAAGGCCAGGAAAATTATCCTACATCATTCTCACTCAGGGATCATTTGTTTTTCAGTTAACCTTTTAACCCCCAGAAGTGATTATCATGTAACTTCTCCCCATAATATTGATACATCATCCAGAAAACAGATAATGAGGATATGCAAACTTAACAGGTAGAAGTCATCTTGATCCAGCATCAAATTCTCATCACTAGTTAACAGGGAAATGTGTAGCAGCTGGAGGTGGGAATTAAGAATTAGATCTTGGTAGTTTAAGGGTTAATAAAAGTAATGAAACTTTTAGTCCAATTTGTTCGTAGCAAAGGCCAGGAAAATTATCCTACACCACTCTCACTATGGATCATTTGTTTTTCAGTGAACCTTTAAACGCCCAGAAGTAATTAACATGTAACTTCTCCCCATAATGTCGATACAGCATTCAGAAAACAGATAATGAGGATATGCAAACTTAACAGGTAGAAGTTATCTTGATCCAGCATCAAATTCTCATCACTAGTTAACAGGGAAATGTGTAGCAGCTGGAGGTGGGAATGAACAATTAGATCTTGGTAGTTTAAAGGTTACTAAAAGTAATGAAACTTTTAGTCCAATTTGTTCATCACACCACACTCAATTATGCATCATTTGTTTTTCAGACACCTGCTGCAGTACAAAAACTTAAGTCGCTGTTCACACCAGAAACTGAAAATGTAAGACATGCTTATAGTCTAGTGTCAACTTTAAAAAAATTATGTTTTTCTAAGGTACATGCTTACGCAAAAGTAAGTGAACTCAATAATTGATATCCTACATAAGGTTGTCAGTCATTGCAGATGAGCAAAACTGTATGCAAGAGAAAAATGAAATTTGGGAAATAAATAGGAGGAGGAAGGGAATTGCATGCAGAAGGCTGTGGCCCCAGACAACCAGAACTGTTGTCACCGCTTGCTTGTTATTTTGATTGCACCTGCTTTTTTGCTTGCCTCCACTCACTGAGAGCATGGTACTGGCTAAAAACATGTTATAGTTAATAAATAATCATTAAAACTATCCTTGGCTTTGGTCCCTAGGCATTGATCAAGGAAATGTGATCCGTAGTTTCTTGGTTATAAGGAGCACAGTTTTTTCAAGAAAATTCTGTCTTTGGTTGGAAAGTTAGTGCTGAAATTGGAGTGCATCCTATAGCCAAGTATTTTTGCACAACAAAATCTTAAGATCACAATTTTAGCAGAGTTTACAGTTAAAAGGCAATAATGGGACACTAATCGTTGAGAGAAAAAGCAGAGCTTTTTGGTCTGAGGTGTAGCGAAGATTGCGTCAAATTCAGTCCTATATTGCAATGCATTAAAAAGGAATACTGCTTTTAGAACACTAAACAACTTCCATAGAAAAGCAAACAAACGGAAATTTGCATATGTTCTTAGCAGCAAGTGCTCGGTAACATGATATCCAAAACAGGTCCTTCGGTCGGTAGCGTTCTGTGGACGCACACTTTGTTGTCATACGCAGCTCACCAGAGAGCAGGACGTTGCCGGTTGCGCCATTTTCTCACCATGGATTCTGAAATGCCGTATTCACGGGCAATTCCACGACTGTTGTGACTGCCTCGGCTTCGGTAGCGATTTTTAACTTTACGTTGAGGTCAAACGATTGACGGCGAGTGCTTAGCATATTTGTGATCGAACAAGAAGTTAAAGTGAAACTCTGACTGTTTACGATGAGAACATATCAGTTATTTTTGTAAGTGAGTTTTAAGTCATTCGGTTGATGTTATTGGAATGAAATCGAATCACTGAATATTTATTATTTAATTTTGTAAAGAGAAGCATGTTTCTAAGGAGGAAGGCTGAAATAAACAAGGATGCGTTTTGTTTCTCCTTAAAGTTGTGAAATTTTAGCCTTGGTTTTTACGTAGCTCATTAAATGTGCGACTTTTTTCACTTTTATTTACGTTAGCAAAAGAGTTCACATGCCAGCTGTGTAGCGATAATCGTTCTCAGTTCTATCACATCCTTTTATTAACCTTTTGGTATGTCATAAAACCGAATATTTTCACGAAATTTTCAGTTTGGGAACTTGGCTAGACTAAGTTGCTAAGTTTGGGGTGCGTCTTATAACCGAGTGCACTTATAACCGAGAAAGTACGGTTATTCTCAGATTCTTTAAATTTGAAGGAAATGCAGAAACGCTACCTATTACATGCTTGTCATTAATTTTAAATGTCTTTTTTCTTTTCCAGTCTGCTTTAAGAATTGGTGTCAAACAAAAAGGTTGTAATGGCCTCACTTATACATTGGATTATGCCAATGAAAAGGGAAAGTTTGATGAGGAGGTCAGTCAAGATGGTAAGTTTGTTTTTGGAAAACTTGAATCGTGTAAAGCTCAGTAAACCATGAGCATTAGAAACATTTCTTGCATGTTGTGGCTAAAGAACAAGCTAAACTAGCAAAAGTAAGCTAAATTGTAAGCAGTTCCCTCTGACGAAGGGCTAACGCTCGAAACATCACCATCTAAGCCCCTAAGGTGGCCAATTTATGTTATCAACAATAGCGTGCAAAAAAAGTCGTGTCCGATAGCTCGGGGCTAGTGGATTTTGCGATTGGGCCAGTGAATTATGTGCTTTAGGTGCCCGAAGGGCAAGTGAAGATTTTCGGAGAATTAAAGTTACAGAAGTACTGTAAGACAAATGTTGTAAATTCCTAATAAATTCATGCTGACCAAAAGTAGCTCCGACGAAGTGAAATCTGTAATACATAGATTTAGCCAAGCCTAAAAGCGGAGCTCGCATTTTTTTTCCCGCACGTCTCGAGGGCATAACGCCTTGCCTCGGCCAGGAATAGAACCTGGGTCGTCCGACTCGGAGCCTAGTGCACTGACCACTGGCCTACTGGACAAAGCCGTGGCGTTGGCGTGCTCGCGGTACAGTTGACTACGCATGTTAAAAGTAGCACCTTGTACGGTCGTACGGTAGTACAATCCAAATTTTTTCGGCTTGGTGGGTTACTACTATTTTGTATAATTATGGGGCTACGCTCTGCGAGCTCCGCTATAAACAAGACTAAGTATGGCATCACATGTCAGACGAGACTTATTGTGATCTCGTGCATAAAGTAAAAGCAAATATTGAAAAAAAACATTGGAGGTAAATGTTGCCCGTGACCAATTCTAACTAATTCAGAGAAAACTATCTCTCTTAATTTTACTTCATAATCATTTGTGAGGAACGTAAACAAAAGGTTTTGATCCTGAACTCCAGTGAAAAATTTCTCCTGATTTTAGCAAATACTGGTCACGTGCGTTTCAACATGGTAAATTCTAAACACCGATACCGTAGGCGTTTGTTGATTAAAATATATAGACCACATCGTATTGTTTTCACTTTTCACGAAAATCTTTCAGATGAAAAGTTGCCAGAAATGAAACGAACATTTTTGTTCTTTTGAAACGTAACACCTTTGGTTACTTGTAACAAGATGAACCTCAAATTTGCATAATTTTTGTTTGCAAAATTTGTTCATTGATGCGTTACTCAGCACTTGCACTAAAACTTGACTTGGAAAACCGACTCCCAACCTTCATCAGAAAAAATGAAGTGAATGCACAAATTTTGAATGAGAAGCAAACTGATGAGAGCTATCAAATTTTTATCCCCTTTAATACTATAAATATTACTTGAATAATGTAAGTATCTCCCTTGTCAGCTGCTTAGAAATGGGGAAAATTGTGAAATTTAGCTAGGTTCACTCCCAAGATCTCGTTAGTACTTCTCCTTACTGTCTGTCACACAATTTTGAGGTTACTTTGGAGAATATGGTATTGGACCAAATTAATAATCCCCTAATTTATATTTTCATTTATTCTCATCGCTTGCTAGTATTTATGTTGTATTGGTACTGCAATGAGTAATTGTTTCTTGCTCACTCATGAGAGATTAAAGGTTAAGGCTCACAGAAGGGGGAAATTGCATTATTATCTCAGATTACCAATGTTTTTCTCAACAGGTGTAAAGATTTATATTGATTCCAGGGCACAATTATCACTGCTAGGAACAGAAATGGACTATGTAGAAGATAAGCTTGCCAGTGAATTTGTGTTCAATAATCCCAACATTAAAGGAGTTTGTGGATGTGGGGAAAGTTTTCACTTATAGAATTGCGAAATTGGAGAATTTGGTAAAGTCACCAGAAGCCATCTTGTTTTAGTACCAGCTGTTCACAATAATGTTGGAGTATTTGTCTTTTCCTGCCAAAAAAAGGAGGGCATTATCTGGTTTGAAGAATATTTGACACACTTTGAAGATGTCAGTTATAAAACTGATATACCGAACTACCTGACTTGCACTTATGTTGCTTCTGCTGTTTAGTGTTAATATGGATATTTTTTGTAACTCTGATCACCTCTCAAAAAAATTCAGTTGATACCACAAAAGGAAATTTAACCATCCATCTGCTACTTTTGAAGAGAAGAGGGTTAAAACTTAAATTTCAGCTACAAGCACGAGGCTGTGCATACACCTATACCTTTCTTAGTGATCAACTACTGGAGACTTAGAGAAGATTTCTAAGAAAAAAATAGTTTGTTTATTTATCAACATTACGTCTCGTGTAAGTATTGTGGGCTGAATACAGACAAACTTTGGTGTAAATAATTTGAGAATACTACTGTAGAAGTTTTGTTCTTCTTTTTGTTCAAGAGGGTGGGGTGGAAACCCAAACTGTACTAACAGACTGAGGAGGTTTCTCTACTTTTCTATGTGGATGGGTGTTGCAGGCATGCCGACAGAGGGAATTACTTACATCAATCAAACCTGAAGAGCCCATGTGAACTCAAAGTTAAAACAAAAAATTCTTAGTTTTGCATCTGATTGGCTGTGTGCTGTAGGTTTTCTGGACCAGTCACACAGTGAAGTAAAGCAAAACAAAACCAGTGAACCAAACCAAACCAGTCACTAAGTACATTTAACCCTTTCACTCCCAAGATCTGATTGTCAATTCTCTCTTCTTGCTGCTAGAAAATTCCTTGTAAATAAGTTATGAGAATTTAGTGTAATATCAAGATAAAAATTTCTTCCTGATAAGTTTTAGTATTCTTTTAACTGTTTGCTAGAAAATGTATGGATATAATTGGGAGAAGTTACATGTTGGTCACTTCTGAGAGACAGATGATGGCAGCAATAAACTAAATGGGTAACTAGAGTTTTAAAACATCTTTAATGATTCTATGGTTTGCTTCAAAATTATGTGCCTTTAGGCTCAAAATAATGTTATTTATGACTCAACTATAACAAATCTACAGTTTCTTAAAAGCTAAATGTAAACATGTACCACTTACTTAAAAAAGTTTGGGTTGAAGCCCTGCAACCAATCAAATAGTACTAACATGTCGTGAGCAAATGTAGGGCTTCAAGAGCAAGATGCTGAACAATGCATCAAGTTTTAGTCATGTCCATTGACGAATCATCACACTCCATGAGCTTTGATAGCTTGCCATTGCATTTCTCCAATCTATCTTGAAGCTTCTTGGGTTCAAGTCAATGTTAATTGTCAATTGTGTACAGCACACCACAAAAGCTGCTATTTTGTTGTGGGCAATCACAGCATTTTTTTCAATAAGTTTCACTTTTTTGTCACCAGCCCCTTGTGAGAGGACTTTCAGTTAGTAATACAAGACCTACCTCTTTGTAAAGTTGAGCACAAATAGCAAATAATTTCACCCAAACCCAAAGGCAGGAAAATGCAACAACCCAAATACTCTCCAGCATTAAAATGGTTTTTATCTGGATCGGTTCCAAGGAGAATGAAGCCCATTTGTTTGAAAGACTCCTTTCTGATACCACACTACAATAACTTGGATTTCATAGGATTTAACAATTTCTCCTCACTTGGCAAATAAAATACCTGGTGATTCCAAGGGTTGATGCATTACAGGGCCATAGTTCTTGTTTTCTCACTGTCCATGGAAGTAGATGGTACAGTGTCTCCACCCCAGGAAGATCCATTCTTAGGTTCATGTGGAGACACAGCTTTCAAGTAGTTTAAAAAATTATTGCTCCTTGGCTGCAATTTTAATTAGAAGCAGGCTCCAAGAAAATAGTTGGTCATTGTACATTCAATGCTACTGCATCATAGCAGTTGATGAATATCAAGATGAGCACAGTGCAAAAACAATGCCCCATGACTGCACGCAAAAAAAATCACTAACAGGCTACACTGCCGCCAAGTCTCTTGTAAAGCCTTGATGGCAAGTCTAGGCTGGTTTTGATCCAAATGACTAACTCATAATCATTTCTAGTTAATGACAGTTTTCCCTGCCATCAACTTCCTTGATCTAATACCCTGCATTGCAGCTGTGGCATGTTTTGTCCTGTGTGAAATCTCAGTTTTGTTTCTCCTTTGTAAAGTGTAGGTAGTAATCAGTCCAGACAGGTGCATCACAGACTGCAGCATGTAAAAGCTACATGTAGTCTTCTGGTGAAGTGGGTTCACTTTTCATAAAATGACAACTCTGTTAACTATCAATGTTCCAAAACAATTGCACAACAAAAGAGATGAGCAGTTTGGAACTTAACAGAAGATGTCCAGCTCTGATGAATCCAGTGATCATATTTTTCAATTACCCTTGTTCCATCACACATGCTGGTTCACTGTGATGTAAGAAATAATTGCAGTAGTCTTTATTCCCCTCATCTTTCAGCCAAGGCATGACACCAGCTGTTGTCAATAGTATGTAACTCCAATCCATTATAGTTCAGCTCAACAACGCTAAGGTAAAGTACATGTATCCAATCCAATAAACTCTCAATAATGCTAAACTGAAACCAAGTAACCAATGTAAAAACTGTAATCATGCCACTTGATGGCATGAAACAGAACAATAGCAAATAATCCAAAGATGCAAAATCACCACTCTTCTTCCTCCGTACCACCAGCTGAAGACCAGGCAGCAGTGCCATTAATCTGGCTGGTTTGAGTATTAGCTTCCTCACTATTCCACTCTCCTCCCCAGCCATCACTGTTGCCAAACTACCACAAAGATCAAAACAAAGGTTTAAGACATTGCTAAGCTACAAAAAATTAGAATTTCTAACTACTTATCTCTGTTTGCAGTGGGAAACTGCACTGAATATAAACAAGAAACTCCTAACATCTTGATGACATTATTTACCTAGAACATTCTGAGGCTAAAAAAAGGTGAAAAACAATTGATATAATGTAATAATAAAAATGTACATCTTGCTCTTTGCTCTTCAAATAACCATGTGTTAAAATCTCTCTTGGTGTATGATAACTCAAGAACATGGATAGGATAGGTACTCAATGATCACTCTAAACATTGCACACAAAATTTGAATTTGTTTTACATGTGCAGGTGAGACAAAGATTTTCAGATACTACTGCAGTTGGGGCCATTTTATTTCTTTGAGGCAGAGGTGCATCATTGAAACTAACATTGACCCCTTGCAGTATCACCCCTACAACAATCATTGAGCTCGCATGAATAATAAAAATCATCACCAACTCAAGAAGCTCTCGATTGTTAAAGAAGTTCTCCTTATCAGCATCAGAGCAAATGTGCAAAGAAAAGTTTGTAGAATATGCATACTGATGTTATGGTGTAAAGAGTTCATTGTTCCACGAAGGTAAAACCATGGGAAGTTGTCAAAATTTTTTTTTAATGTACCTGTTTCCTGGTGTCTCTGGATGCAAAACGACCTCCTGCTGGGCCATAACTCGTGCCTACTGCGCTCTCTGCAATCTCCTCTAACCATTCTGGCACCTCTTGTGAAGCCTACAAAGAACACATGCAAGTCAGAAGAAATTACAACTCTTCAGAGCAACTCAGGCCATAACATAGAACTACTTTACATCAATTTGGATTCGAGATGCTTACCACAGAATAGCTTGGAGTACAACACTGTACCCACTAAAACATTAATTAAGATGATAATTTCATAATTTTTGGTAAAAAAATGGTGCCTTGATAAAGGTTTGCCTTTAAGGTAGACAGATGACTTACAAAAGACCGACTTCCACTGGATAATAAAAAACAATTTGCACTCTAAGTGGCCAGATAACCAAAGATATGCTCTGGATGGTAAATTTATGCTGTTTAGCATTTGGGTGGATGTATTATCATAAAATTTGTTTTTAACAGAACTGCTAAATTTCAAGTCCTACTCAACATACATGAAATGAAACAACTTACTAATATTGCAAATAAACAAAACATGACAAAACAAAATCATGAAACATGAAGCAGAAGACAGTACTTACGTCAGACAGAATTTTCACAAGTGCCCTAGCAATTTTATCGTCTTTTCCTTTCTGGAAGAAAGTTGTAGCCTTTCCTTCATGCCCAATACGTCCTGTTCTACCAATTCTATGTACAAACTCCTCAATCTCATTTGGCAAGTCATAGTTGACAACATGCCTAACATCATCTATGTCCAAGCCACGGGCAGCAACATTTGTGGCAATAAGAACTGGACAACGGCCTAGCCTGAAGTCCCTTAAAGCTTCCTCTCTTTCCTGCTGAAGGCGATCACTGAAAACAAAACAAACTGCCTTCTAAAATTTTTCACAATCAGTACTGCAGATCCAGTTTAGAAAGTTTCTGGAAAACCTGGGAACATAGCTTTCGATAAATTTAATTTTTTCTTTGAAGCCCCATGTAGTTTGGACCATAAAGACAATTTCTCTCCTTAATCCTTGGTTTGGGTGAAAATCATCTATCTCTACCACCTCACAGAAATTCTAAAGCAATAGTTGAAAAGCGTGGCAGCTCTGGCATGTTTTAGCCTTTGGAAAGAATTAAACAGAGTTGCGTTGATCTAGAATTTTAACCAAAACATTTTTTTTCAGAAGGCAGCTTCCCTTTTGGTTGTATGGCCAGATGAAGAGTACAATAATCCTTGAGCTCCAACCCTGGGTCTAAGGAACTGTTGATAAAAATACCATATTGCCCACATTTGGTGGAGAGCACATCAAGTAACTATTTCTGTTTCAACATTTTTTGAACTCCCATAGAGGAAAGCAAAGAAATTGGCCATAAAAATTCAACACAGATGACAACATGCACTAGTTTGCAGATTGTTTACTGCACATTTCTTGGTGGTACTGTGACCAAATTTAAAATAGACTCTTTAAAATAAAAAAACTTTCTTCAAAAAATCTGATGCATTCATCAAGTTTCATTTTCAGTCTGTAAACTAAAAACAGCATTTTACTAAAGGTAGATTATGGTGTAAAGTGTAAAGCCAAAAGACTTAAGTACCATCCCAGTTGTTTTTCTGGTTGAGTATACTACATATATCAATTGATTTCCAACTTACCCATGGATACTTGTAGTAGGAAATCCTTCTTGCGACAACAAGCTTGCAAGAAAGTCTGCTCCACGCTTTGATTCCACAAACACAAGGGTCCTATCAGTACCTGGCAATAGGACATAAATTGTGGTTACTAGAATGATGGCAACTTTCACAGTGCTCCAAGCCATGACCAGTCTGTGGTCATGTCAGGATGAAAAGATACAGGTGATCTGCATTTGGCAGTCATGTTGCAAGCTGTTACATGTTCCTTACATTACGTTTATCATCCAGAGTTGAGTGAGAGAGACAGTACATATCACTAATAAGACTAGTGCATTATCACTAATAAGACTTGCTTATTTTCTTTAACACAATTCTTATTTCCACAAATGCCTTGTGGTTAACAGTTAGGTGCATCATGCAATATTTTTCACAGTCTTTCAAGTCAGTGCAAATGAGACTTTTTGAATGATTAACACTCTTAACCCTTCACTACTGCCAAAAAAAAATAATAAAGTAGAATAGAGTATCCATCGTTTCGATTTTGCATCTTTACCTGAGCAGCTGAGTAATTCAGTCAACTTTTCTCGTTTCTGATTTTCTGGCACATCCAAGATTGTCTGCTGAATGTCTGATGTTGTACCACCAACCCTTCCTACTGTCAAGAACAAGTAATCATTGAGGAAGTCACCAGCCAGGCGTTGAATTTCCTCAGGGAAAGTTGCACTGAACATGAGAGTCTGTCTCTCTGTCTTTTCAGGCATTCCCAGTGTCTCCACAATTTTCCGAATGTCTGCCTCAAATCCCATGTCAAGCATTCTGTCTGCTTCATCCAAAATCAGATACTGAACCTTCTCAAGGGAAACCTAGTACCCAAACACAAACAACCAAATACATCAAATTATGTTATGCATCATGAGAAATTTATCATGAGGTGTCTTTAGTAATCAAGACTGCACTAGTTCTGCTTTACTTCTCCTGTAATGACAGGCATCCCCTTTGCGTTTTAACCAGGATCCTCACACCCTGCCTATATTTCCCACTCCTCATTCCTTAAATACACCTATATGCAAGCAAAATAAGGATAAATGATTCAAACTTTTCATTACAATTTATTACATTTTTTTTTTTCAATAATCAGGTCATCACATGTTCTCTCACCTGTCCTTGTTCGACAAAATGCTTGAGTCGCCCAGGCGTAGCGACTAGAAAGTTACAACCACGTTGAACTTGTCGCAAATGATGTGAAACACTGACCCCTCCATAAATACACACTGCCTTTAGCATAGTTCCCAATGAAAACTTTCGAGCTTCATTAAAAATTTGACTAGCCAGTTCTCTTGTGGGAGAAATACAAAGACCTTGTGGAGTTTGAATGCCTGACAGCTCACTGCTGGCCAATCCACTGTTCAGTATACCAGACATAGCAGGTAGGAGAAAAGCTGCCTATAATTGAACAAAAATGCTTAAGTTTTACTCTCTTATCATTCAATTAACAGGATGACAGTAATAACAGCTGATGCATCTAAGTACATAAGCCTGACAACAGCATGGCCATATTTTGACTTTTTTTTTTTCTCTTCACCCATATTATGATAGATTTTTAAGAATTACAAGTGTAGGAGCTCATTGGAAGGAATATACACAAGAAAAAAAGAAAATACAATGCTGCAGAATTTCCTATCATGCGAGGGAAATCATTTGATAACAACCAGCAATATAAAAAAGACACATCCATAGGATGACTAATTCAAGTATAAATTGGAACAACTTAAGTTTACCATTAGCCACCTAAGAATTTTTAAGCCAAGTTTTTCAAGATGCATTAGACATCATCAGCACCAAGCATTCACAGTGCAATGGTTCATCATCCCCAAAGTTTGACAACAATAAAGCTTTCTTGGTGAAACTAAAGGCATTTATCTCCAAGGAAGGTCACATCATGTGCTTTCCATACCTATTGAAAATGAATTGGGAATAGAGTGGAGGAAATGCATCCTGACATTTGCTATTTGTACTGATACGGATGAATATACTGATGTTTGTTAAAGGATCATGTTTACCGTCTTTCCGGATCCTGTTTGAGCACAAGCCATGACATCTCTTCCTGCAAGGATTGTGGGTATAGCATACTTTTGCACAGGGGTGGGCTTAGTGTACTTTGCTTTTTGGACATTTAATAACAAAGATTCTCTCAGATTAGCCTCCTGAAAGCTTTGAATCGGTGTTATGGTCTCTTTTCCTTTTCCTGTAACCTCAACTGGGATCTCATCGTACTTGTCAAAGTTGATGCCTCTCTCAATGGAACGGAACATCTCCTCCTCCTTCTCAGATGGATCTGGGGGAACATATGTCACAGGACCTGGTTTGTCTGTTAAAAAACATAATAGCATCATTTTAAAACAAATGGAAAAAACAAACCTCTAGTTTTTGTTGCTTGGGAGAGAAAAGATAACTTTTAAACAAATTTTTTGTAACTTATATTGAGAAAGATACCCAAAGCAACAACAAAACAAAAAAAACCCCTTTGAATACCAAATCAGTCTAATCGAACAAAAGCCTCATGGCAAAATTGATTTTTAAACATGAAATTAATAAGATCTCCCTAAATCTGAATTTTTTTAAATTGCTACTTACATCAATCTACTTAAATTCCTTGGTCATTTACCCAATTTTCTGGCTTTACATCTGTTACTTCAAAAAAGAACTACTTCTGATTTCATCTACTATTTGGACATTAGGCTTTTTCATGAGTGAAAATGTAGTCACTTAACCCTTTAACTCCCATAAGTGACGGAGACAGAAATTCTCTTTTTAATATCAATACAATATCAACCAGATAGGGGATGAGAATAAAGAAAAATGTCAATTTGGGGATAATTAGTTGATCCAATACTAAATTCTCTGACCTAACATTATGAGAATTGTATGGTTGACAATAAGGAGAAAGACAAATTTGATCTGGGAGTTAAGGGATTAAATTGATACAACAGCAAACTTGGAAGGAACATCATGCTTTCGGTGTACAGAGTCCTGAGCTTTTCTTTGATTTTTAGCCATTTAAAAATGTACTCACTTTCATCTTGCTCTTTATTTGGACACTCTCGAGCAAAATGCCCTTCTTCACCACAACTATGACACCCTCTTCCACCTCCACCACCACTTTCCCTGCTTGGGTATTCTTTTGCAAAGTGCCCTTCTTCCCTGCCAGTGTGCCATCCACCACCTCCCTTCCTGTTACCACTACTGCTACCAAATCCACCACCTCTCCCACCACCATCTTCTCCATCATCACCTCCTGAAAATCCACCCCCTCCTCCTCCTCCTCCTCCAAAACCACTGCCACCAAAGCCACCACGCTTCTTTGAACCAAAGCCTCCTCCGTTTTCTCGAGGTTCATCATCAGTTCCACCATCAAAGCCACCACCACTGCGGCCAAATCCACCGGCTCTGTTACCAAATCCCCCTCCACTACTGCCAAAACCACGTGCTGCTGGCTTCTCACTGTCACTGCCACCGCCACCACGACCAAAGCCTCTACCTCCACCAAAAGCACCCTGATTGCCGCTTTCGAAGCCATTTGTCAATGTACTGTCTGTATTTGCAGAGCCAAAACCTCCTCTTCCGAAGCCCTTTCGTCTGGGAGCTTCATCGACCGAATTGTCATTACTACTCCAGGTACCAAAGCCTCGTCCTTTGCTTGCCCCAAATCCACCACCAAATGAAGTCTACGCAAGAAAACATATCACATCACATTCCAGTATCCAGAAAGATTTAAATAGACACATCGTCCTACTTACTGTTGTGGAGCTGCCATCTTCCCAATCGTCTGCCATGTTGATTTCGACGATTTCAACTATAAAGACAATTTCCCGCGATTTAAAAAACTTAATATACTGATTGAAACGTTTCTGTGAATTTTTTTCAGATCAAAGACCTTTTAAAAGTGCCACGAACTAAGCTTGGCTGCTTTCTCAGACATAAAGTGCACCTACTGATAACAAATCGAAAATTCGTATGAAATCGCAAGAGCGTGAAATCTTCTGGGTTGTACACGTGAGTTCATTCGACAATGATTGGCTGATTTATTTTTTTCCGCGGAATTTTGTGATCACGTGGTTGGTGCGATAAAATTTTCGGTATTTCCGGAGAAGAGGAAAAAAAAAAAAACCAGCTCAGGTCGAACGCCGAAGATCCCCTAAATGCAATAATTTTCGTGTTTTACTAACGAAGGAAAATTAAAAAAATAAATCTATAGCTTCAGCCGGATCACAAAGCAGGAAATAAAATAGGAACTTCGATAATCACAGATTGCAGCATCGCTCGAATCAGTCAGATGTCAAACATCTATTGTTTTATTTTTTGTGTTTCAATCGATTTCGCAAGTGAGGTGTGAAACCGCAAAACCAACTTCGACGTCAGTTATTTATTAAGCGAAGAACTGGGAAAGATTTTGCGACTGATTACGTATATGTTGAGGATATTTCTAGACGTAAACATGAACGATGGAAGCTTAGGCTCTGGGTTATTTAATGTAAAGAGCGCTTCTCGACAGAAATCAAGAGAAGTGAAAGAATCTAGTGGCTAAGCTTCAGAATACCATTTACATGTCATTGAGTTAGAATAACGTTTATTGTGTTATGCCTCGATCTTCAAAGCCTCCCGGCACATGCAAATGAGGTGGACCAAAGTGGCAGGATATTCTGCAGTTGCTCCAAACAGTTTCTCGTGAAGAAATGTAAAATGGTTTCCGTGTTTACATAACCTGATGTAAACACTTGGGAGGTCGGGAGAACACGAGACAAGCGTAGGAAACCACGAGCGAAGCGGAGTGGTTTCCAGCTTATCTCGTGTTCTCCCAACCTCCCAAGTGTTTACATCAGGCTATGTAAACACGGAAACCATTTTACATTTCTCTTATAAAATAACTAATGATTGAGGAACGAAAACCGTGTTTACATACGCTCATGAAAATGGTTTTATGGCCAATCAGAGCGCGCGTACTATTTGAATTATTTTAATCAATGTAACTAGCCTCTGGAGCAACTGCAGAATACCCTGCCACTTTGGTCTACCTCATTTACATGTGACCTAGCTAACTCTATCTTTGCTCATCTTTCTTGAGGATGTTTTTATTTTTCTCACTCATTGCTGTGAGAACTGTGAATTCAAAATAATAATTTTTACAAGCTTGAATTGAAAACATCACATGACCCATAAGGTATGTAGTTCGTGTCCTAAGTCACCATGATTACACACTAATTTACAATTTGTATTTTCCTTTGCTTAAGGAATGTGATCATGGAGCTTGAACAAAGGCAAAGATATTGAACTGTTTGGAGATCATTTTGACCTGAAATTCACTTTTAAACTGTCATACATGTAATCTGCCAAGCATAGAGAGTTCTATAGAGAGTTTTATTCCAAAATTGAAGTTATCTTTTTTTCTCTTGTTGAACATTGATGGAAACGTAGAGGGAATATGATCTGGCTGTATGCTTTGTGCTTGGGATACCTTCCACACAAATCATACTCAGATTTTAAAATCCTATGCCATTCTCTCTTCTTGAAGACTGTTTTAGCAAAGGTTCAGGTATTAAATGTTCCTTACCGTGACACTGATGTTTTGATTTGACAACTGAAAATATATTGTTTGTTGACAAATGCTTGTTTGGACACTCCTTGATTTTGAAAAAATTACATTAACTCTTTAATTCCTAACATCAGTAGGCATATTCTCCATAATGATTTCTGGACATTTCCTGTGGTATCGATAAGGAGAATTTGTTGAACAATCAAGAGCTTCTTTAGTTGGTGATCATTTCCTTTATTCTCATGGCCTCAATGAGTGATTCAAGGGTGATATTGTAAAGGGGAAATTAGATTCTAGTCACTCATAGGGGTTGAAGGGTTAACAGGTTTCCAAAATATTTAAAAGCTTCACACATATTTTTTTAAAACAAAATATGTTCTCTGTTTATTATTATTGGGGATAGCTATCAATGTTCCAAAATGATCACACAACAAAAAAGCTGTTAGGAACTTTACAGAAGATACCCCACTCTGATGAATCCAGTGATTATATTTCTCTCTGAACCTTGTTCCATCACACATGTTGGTTCACTGTGATGTAAAAAATAATTGCAATGTAGTTTTTATCCCCCTCATCTTCCAGCCAAGGCATGACACCAGCCATTGTCAATAGAGTACAACTCCAATCTATTATAGTTCAGCTCAACAATGGTAAGGTAAAGTACATGTATCCAATCCAATAAACTCTCAATAATGCAAAACTGAAACCAAGTAAAAAACTATATCCATGCCACTTGATGACATGAATCAGAACAGTAACAAATCATCTGAAGATGCGAAAATCACCACTCTTCTTCCTTCATACCACCAGCTGAAGACCAAGCAACAGTGCTGCTATTTTGGCCGTTAGTTTGAGCATTAGCTTCCTCACTATTCCACTCTCCTCCCCAGCCATTGCTGTTGCCAAACTACCACAAAGATCAAATCAGAGGTTTAACATTGCTCAGGTATAAAAAGAAGAATTTCTAACTGCTTATCTTTGTTTGCAGTGGGTAATTGCACTGAATGTAAAGAAGAAACTCTTTACTTCTTGAGGTCATTAACTACCTAAAACATTTCAAGGCTACAAATTGAACATTTATGTGAATGAAAATAATTATGATGTAACAATAAAACTGTACATCTGGCTCTTTGCTCTTCAAATAACCATGGATAGGATAAGTACTCAATGATCACTCCAAACTTTTACCAAAACCATTTTTTAATGGAAAAATTTGCATTTGTTTTACACGACTGTATGTCAAAGATTTTCAGATACAACAGCAGTTTGTATCATTTTTTTTTTTTTAAGCAGAGGGGCATCATTAAAACTGACATATAACCAGTAAGGGTGGCTAGCATCTAATATTCCCTTGCAGTATCACCCCTAAATTTAACGTTGAGGTCACAATATAATTATATCAATGATCACCAACTCAAGAAGCTCTTGATTGTTAATAAACAAATCCTCCTTGCCAGCATCATTGCAAATGTTGCAGAGAACAGTATGGAGAATATGCATGTTGACTGGATGTCTGGGTGTAAAAGATTAATTGCTTCATGTATGTTACACCATGGGAAGTTGTCAAAAAATTTTTAGTGTACCAGTGTTTCCTGGTGTTTCTGGATGCAAAATGACCTCCTGCTGGGCCATAACTTGTGCCTTCTGCACTCTCTGCAATCTCTTCTAACCATTCTGGCACCTCTTGTGAAGCCTACAATGAGCACATACAAGTCAGAAGAAATGTCAACTTTTCAGAGCAACTCAGGCCATAACATACTACAGAATAGCTTGGAGTACTATACACTGTACCCACTTTTAGGTCAAAAAATGGTGCCTTCAAAAAGTTTGCTTTAAAGGTAGGCAAATGATTCACCCAAAGAACAGATTCCACTGGATAATGAAGAACAATGTGCACTCTAAGCAGCCAGATAACCAAGGATATGCACCGGATGATTAAGGTGCCTGGATGTATCATAAAATTTGCATTCAACAGAACTGCTAAAGTTAAAGACCTTCTCAACATACATGAAGTGAATCAATTTACTCACTCATATTAAGAAAAGACAAAACATAACAAAGCAACATCATGAAACACAAACCAAAAGAAAGTACTTGCATCAGACAGAATTTTGCCCTAGCAATCTTATTGTCTTTTCCTTTCTGGAAGAGAGTTGTAGCCTTGCCTTCATACCCAATACATCCTGATTTACCAATTCTATGTACAAACTTTTCAATCTCATTTGGCAAGTCATAGTTGACAACATGCTTGACATCATCTATGTCCAAGCCATGGGCATCAATATTGGAGACAATAGGAACAGGACAGCGGCCTAGCCTGAAGTCCCTTAAAGCTTCCTCTCTTTCTTGCTGAAGGCAATGACTGAAAACAAAACAAACTGCCTCCTATGGTCTTTTCACTTTTTGAACACTGTGCATATACATACAGAATTCAATGACAATCAATATTGCAGATCCAGTTAAGAAAGAACTGTGGAAAACCAAGGAATATAGCTTTCCATGAATTAAAAGATCAATGCATACATGCATCAAGTTTCATTTCCAATATATAAACTGAAAACAGCATTTTACTAAATAAATATGAGATAACAATATAATGCCAAATGACTTGGGTACCATCTTTGTTGTTTTGGTGGTTGAGTATACCATCAAACTGCTTTTGAAGTTACCCATGGATACTTACAGTAGGAAATCCTTCCTTCCTGGTGGTAATATAACTAAACTTAAGACTGACTCCAAAAAAAAACTTTTTGAAAAAAACAAATCAATATATACATGCATCAAGTTTCATTTCCATATTTCTTATTTCAACAAAAGCCATGTGGTCAACAGTTAGGTGCATCATGCAATATTTTTTAATGAAAGTCTTTTTAATTTAGCTCAAATGGGACTTTCTCTATAATTTAACACTCCTAACTCTTAACTACTGCAAAAAAGCAGATTTTGCATCTTTCCCTGAGCAGCTGAGTAATTTATTCCACTTTCTCGCTTCTGATCTTCTGGTACATCCAAGATTGTACGCTGAGACAATAAGAAAAACTTCTTTGAAAAGAAATGGATATTCAAATGAAAAGGAATGGTTAATAATTTCAAAAATCTTAAGCCGATTTGCCTTCTATCCTGTTTTTTCTCTCTTTTTTTTTACGTTATGTTGCTTGGTTTAATTAGTTTAATTTGTATATTTTCTTAAGCTGAAAATAGGGTAACTGTGTAAAATTGTTAGATATATCCAATTGTTATCATTTTTAACCTATTTTATGAATGTAAAATTGTAACTGTGTAAATGAAAGGTCAGAATAAAATTGTTTAAAAAAAAAAAAAAAAAAAAAAAAAAAAAGATTGTATGCTGAATGTCTGATGAGATACCACCATCCCTGCCATCAAGAACAAGTAATCATTGAGAAAGTTGCCACCCAGACGTTGAATTTCCCCAGGGAAAGTTGCACTAAACATGAGAGTCTGTCTCTCTGTCTTTTCAGGCATCCCCAATGTCTCCACAATTTTCCTGATGTCTGCCTCAAATCCCATGTCAAGCATTGTGTCAGTGTCATCCAAAATCAGAAACTGAACATTCTTTAGGGAAACCCAAACACAAACAATGAAATGAATCAAATTAATGTTACCCCTTATGAGAAATGTTCAATTCGTAAGATGTCTTTGGTAATCAAGAACTGCAATAGTTCTGCTTTACTTCTCCTGCAATTTCAGACATCCCCTGCATGTTTTCACCAAGATCCTCACATATATTGAGCTCTTGACACCCTGCCTACATTTCCCCTCTCCCCATTCCTTAAATAAACCTATATTCAAGCAAAAGAAGGATAAATCTTTCCAGCATTTCAGTACAATTTATTACATTTTTTTTTTTTTTAATGAATGATCAGGTTAAGTTACATGTTCTCTCACCAGTCCTTCCTTTATGAAATACTTGAGCCGCCTGGGTGTAGCAACAAGAAAGTTAATTACAACCATGTTGAACCTGTCACAAATTATGTGATACACTGACCCCTCCATAAATACACACTGGCTTTAGCATAGTTTCCAATGAAAACTTTCTGAGAAATACAAAGACCTTGTGGAGTTTGAATGTCTGACATCTCACTGCTGGTCAGTGAATTGTTCAGTATCTCAGACATGGCAGGTAGGAGAAAAGCAGCCTGGAATTGAACAAAAGTGCTAAAGTTTTACTCTCCTATCATTCAATTAACAGGATGACAGAAACAGCAGCTGACTGGTAGTAGAACAGAAGCCTAACAACAGCTTTGCCATATTTTGACTTTTTTAAATTTCTCTCCATCCATATTATAATTATAGATTTCTAAGAATTACAAAGGAAACTAGTCGATAATGGCCAGCAACATACACAAAAAGTCATATCCATAGGATGACTAATTCAAATATAAATTGCCACAACAAAAGTTTAGAATTAGCAACCTAAGAATTTCTAAGCCAAGTTTTGCAAGATGTATCAGCTATTTTTAAGCACCCAAAGCTGACAATGCAATTGTTCATCATAATCCAAGTTTGACACCAATAAAGATTTCTTGCCTTCATGTTTAAGGAATTTTTCTTCGAGGAAGGTCACATTATGTACTTTCCAAACACATGCAGTCAGTCTGTTTCACCACTTGACCCTGGCCCCTGAATTACATTAAGGTCAGGAGAATAAAAGAAATAATCAACTGAAAAAGCTCTTGATTTTCAAACAAATCTCTCCTCAGCATCTTTGGAAATGTATTGAGAACAATGTGGAGGATATGCACACTGATCTTGGCGTTTTAAAGGATAATGTTTACCGTCTTTCCTAATCCTGTTTGACAACAAGTCATAGCATCTCTTCCTGCAAGGATTGTGGGTATTATATAACTCTGCGCAGGGGTGGGCTTGGTGTACTTTGTTTTTTGGACATTTACTAACAAAGATTTTCCCAGGTTAGCCTCCTCGAAGCTTTGAATTGGTGTTATGGCCTCTTTTCCTGTAACCTCAACTGAAATCTTATCGTACTTGTCACAGATGATGCCTCTCTCGATGGAACGGAACATCTCCTCCTCATTCTCAGATGGATCTGGGGGAAGATTTGTCACTGGGCCTGATCTGTCTGTAAAAAAACAATAGAATCAATTTAGAACTCTACCTCCACCAAAAACATTGTGACAGCCACTTTCGAAGCCATTTGCAGGGCCAAAACCACGTCGAGGAGGTTTTGGCTCAGCTCTTATCCCTTTCGTCTGGGAGCTTCATCGACAAAATTGTCATTACTTTTCCAGGTACCGAAGCCTCGGCCTTTGCTTGCCCAAAATCCACCGCCAAATGAGGGCTACACAATAAGAAAACAAATCACATCACATTCTAGAACCCATAAAGATGTGGAGAGACACATAATTCAACTTACTGTTGTGGAGCTGCCATCATCTTTAAAAGTGCCAAGTCTGGCTGCTCTCTGAGACATAAAATGCAGCAATTGATGGAAAATCAAAAGCTTGTATGAATTCACTCGACAATGATCGGCTAATTTATTTTTTTCTGCGGGAAATTTTGGGCCCAAGTGCTTGGGGGTGATTAAACTTTCGGTATTTCCGGGGGCGAAAAAAAAACAAAAAAATTTAAAAAAAAAGCTCAAGTCAAACAACGAAGATCCCCTGAATTCAAGTTTCGTGTCAAATTGATGAAGGAAAAATAAATCTCAGTATAGCTTCAGGCGGATCACGGAGCTGAAAACGAGAGGAGAAATTTGGAAATCAGAGACTGTAATATCCCTCCGATCGTTTGGCTGCGATTTCGTATCTACTCATGGTAGGAGAATAACAGTAGACTCCATATATAAACACCCTATTATAATCTTCCATCGTTTTTTTTTCTGTGATTAAATCGATTTCGCAAGTTGAGTGTGACACTTCAACGTCAGTTTCAAGCGAGAACTGGGAATGACTTTGCGGCTGATTACATATATGGTGAGGGCTTAGTGGCATAAATTGATATGGTTCCAGGAGGTTCCTGAACGTAAACATTCAAGATGGCGGGTTCAGCCGGAAGCTTACGCTCTGGTTTACTAAATATACAGAGTGCTTCTCGACAGAAATCAAGGGAAATGAAAGATTCTAGTGACAGTGATGACGATGAACTGTTTGACGGCGAGAAGCTGAAGACAAAATTAATGTCTATGTGGAACAACATGAGACATGGTCAGTAAGTTGATATCAAATATACCATTTTAATATATATTTACTCATCAGCTAAAATAATACGTCTATCATATCATCGTAGGTCTCTGAACATACTTATTGACCTGGTAGACGATACCTTTGTTTATCTTTCTCATGGGTGTTTTTATTTTTCTCCCTCGTAGCCGTGAGAACTGTGAAAATTGTAATTTATACGAGCTTGAATTGAAAACATCACGCACAAGGCATATCGTTCGTGTTGTAAGTCAACATGATCACACACTCGTTTGATTTGTGTTGTCCTTTGCTTAAGGAATGTGATAATGCAGCTGGAAAAATAAATTGAACTGTTTGGAGACCATTTTGACCTGAAATTAACTCTTTAACTATCACACATACCATTTGCCAAGCATACATCTATATGTTTAGAGCTTCACTCTAAAATTGCAGTTGTCTTTTTTTTCTCGTTGAATAGTGATGGAGATGGAAGGGGAAAGTACGATTTGGGCTGAATTTTTTCTGTTTGGGATGCCTTCCACACAAATCACATTCAGATTTCAAAATCCCTTGCCATTCTCTATTTTTGAAGACTGCTTTGGAAAAGATCCAAAGGTTTACCAGTGTTTTGGTTTGACAAATAAAAATATTTAGTTTTTTTTTTACAATTGCTTGATTGTACACTCCTTGATTTTGGAAAATTTCCACTGATCTTTAACGGTTGTTATAATTCCTTGGTTACCAGGTTTCCAAAACATTTAAAAGGTTCTCACATTTTTTTTTATAAAATCTGTTCTCTGATTATTATTCTTGGGGATAATTTGTGCTTGCAAATAGGTCTTTCATCCCCAGATCTGATTGTTAATTCTCCCCTTTAGCTTTTACACATGTCCTCATAACAAAGTTGCAAGAATTTGGTGTTAGAGAGATCAAGATATCAACTTCAACCCAGCTGATAAATTTGAGTATTCTTATTACCTGTTTGCTGGATTATGTCTGGATATTATAGAGAGAAGTTACATGTTAATCTCTCCTGGGTGTTAATGGGTTAAGTTGTCACCATTTTGAAATAACTCTAATGTGTCTAATGGTTACTATGTGCTGCAGATCTTGCAAATTTATCTGATTATCAATTGAAACATTATTTATTTAATATTTTTACAGGATTTGTTGTGCCTTTCAAAGCACATTTTAATGAAGATTCACCAATATGGCTTTTAGGAAGATGTTATCATGCTAGAAATCATGGTAAAGGTTATGCCTATCATTTAGAACTTTTGTCATCAAGATAGCCCAATGGATAGTACTGTAGACTTAGTAAAAAAAGCTGGGAAACTTTCAGGGAGTTTTCAGAGAAGACACTTGATACTTACACAGCCTTTCTGAACCCAGAATTTTTTAAATGTTTAAATTCTACATGTTATCATTCTAGAAATCATGGTAATTTTTATGCTTATCATTTAGGATTTTTGTCAACAAGATAGCCTAATAGACAGTACTGTAGACTTGTACCAAAAGCTGGGGAATGGTCCATTTTACAGTTGTGTGCTTGGTTGCCAAGCCTTTGAATAGGAGTGAGGCTAAGGGTGACCTTGTTATGATACAAACCTTGCTGCTTTTCAGATGTAAATTACTTTGTTATCATGCTAACTAGATACTGGTCTCTATCACAACAAGGTCACCTTCAGCCTCACTCCAAATCAAAGGCTTGGCAACTAAGTGCACAAATGTAAAGTGGCCTATGGTTTAGATGTGGAGGTGACACTTGATACTTACAGAGCCTCTATAAACCCAGAAGTTTTTAAGACCATTTCACCTTCAAGATCTCGCTGGTAATTCCCCATTCAGTTTGCTATACAAATCTCTCTATTTAGGTTTGGAGAATTTGGTATTGGATCAATTTAAAATCCACTAATTGACATTTTTCTTTATTCTCATCCCTTGTCTGCTTGGTATTGTAAGGAAAATTATGTCATGGTCTTTCATGGGAATTAAAGTTGTACAATATGCATACACAGTCACACACTGAAGGAAGTTTTCTCCTCTTACAGAATTTAGTGGAGTACACTCAACAGAAAAGTGTAAAGTTTTAAGCATGGATGAATTTCAAAGAGACTTTCACTCATTAATCTGGCTGACCTATCGACGAGAAATTCCGCAACTCGGTGACTCAACGTTAACCACTGATTGTGGCTGGGGATGCATGTTACGAAGTGGACAAATGATGATTGCAACTGGTTTGGTCTATCATTTCCTAAAGAGAGGTATGAAAATAATAAAAAAAAAGAATTAAACTTTGCAATACAGAGAAACCTGTATTATGCAGTGGTGATTACTTAGGTTTTAGTGTTGGACACTTGGTTGAAAACTGCTCTTGATCTCCTGATTCTTTGTAGAGTTTAGGACAACAGGAAGATGCATAAGCAGAGAACAAGAACATTTTTACAAAACAGTGAGTAATAAATGATGAGCTGGTCTTTTTTTGTCCCTTTCTAACTAAGGCATTGCCTTGTAAATGTTTGATTCAGCAGTGATGCTGTCATACTGTGAGGAAAAATCACATATTGGTAATTCTTCACTTAAGATTAACCCCTTCAACTCCCCAGATCTGAATGTCAATTCTCTCCTAGAGCTTCTTTGCAGTTCCTTGTAAATTAATTTTGAGAATTTTGAATTCGATCAAAATAACAACCTCTATCTGGCGAGTATGAGTATTCTTGTTACCTGTAAGCTGGAGAATGTATGGTTATTTTAGGGAGAAATTACAAGTTAATCACTTCTGGAAGTTAAAGGGTCAAGAGATTAAAGGGTCAAGAGATTTAAGGGTGAGATCAAGTACCTGCTCTGCAGGTTGGCTAAAATGTCAATATATGAATTCCATATACACAATTGTTCTTGGTTGCGTTTCCTTTAGATTCTTCGATTTTTTGGAGATTTAGAAGATGAAGAAAGATGCCCGTTTTCACTGCATCGCCTTGTCTCAATTGGGGCACACACTGGAAAGCAGGCAGGGGACTGGTACGGACCTGCTTCAGTTGCTCATATTCTCAGGTACATAATTTAACATAATTTGAGACCAAGTCAATCAGGCAACACCCCTGCCCCTCCCTTCCCCCCCCCCTTCCCCCCGAAAAGAAAAAATAAAGAGGAACAATTGGTTAAAACTAACACCTGTATTCTCGGCAAACAAAACGCATATTTTTAGGAAAGGTAATTATGACGAATTGCGAAAGCAGGCTCTAGGCTTGGATGTTACATCACTGTCTGTTCTCGTCCTTGCGTTGAGGGTTTTCCTGTGGCTGCTTCCTTCAGAAAACCTGTCACAAATTCCAAAATCTTCTTGTGTCCTTGACACGTTAGAAGAACAGCCGTCTTGTAGATGTGCCACTTCTAAATTCGTATTTATTGTTCAATGTCTTCTTCTTTGACAGACTTGCGATGGCAGGAGGAACGCATCCTTTACTTCACAACATTAACGTTTATGTTGCTCAAGATTGTACAGGTAAATTACATGTATGCATTCAAAATGAAAACTGGGAAATGGTTGGGGTGCAAATGTCTTCCATGGTATTGCAAAAAATGTACGAATTTTCGTCAGTAGTTTTGGAGAAATTTGGTGAAAGATGCGGGCTTAAAATGGCAGATCAGCCAACGGTTTGAGCCAACTACCGACTAGCCTGCGAGTATGCACTCATTTCTAGCGCCTCAGCTCGGGTTTCGGTTCGCTAGCGGGAAAGTTTCAGGCCTTGAGCGACGCAAACCGTCGAGACGTCTTCAAGGGGTCTGATAATGAGGTCTCATTATTAGTGCCAGACCCCCAACAAATCACTCCTCAGCCCCTCTCAAAGATACCCACGGGCGGAGAAACGCGCATCCTGCAGCGCGTATATTGAGGGCTTACTCGCAAGTTAGCTGTAGGGTTTAATTAACCCTTTAGCTGCCAAGATCTCATTAGTAATTCTCCTTACTGTCTGCCATATAGTTCTTGTGATGTTAGTTTGGGGAATTTGGTATTGGATCAGCTAATAATCCCCTAGTTAATGTATTTTTTTATTCTCACCACTTGTCTGCTTGACAGTGTATTGAAATTGTAAGGAGAAATTATATTTTGGTCACTCTTGAGAGTTAAAAGGTAAACAGCATTGTCTCATGTGAACCTTTCGTCTTATTACAGTTTATACAGATGAAGTAGAAAAGCTTTGTACGAGTTGTAGAACACACACTTGGAATTGTTCCGGTGGCAAGTGGCAATCTGTTATTATTTTAGTTCCTGTTCGGCTTGGTGGTGAAGCACTAAATCCCATTTATATACCTTGTGTTAAGGTAAGGGATACTAAGTCGGTGTCTAAGAAAGTCCGGCACAAGCGAAAAAATGAAAGTTTATTTGCAGCGTAAAGATAAAGGAGAGAGAGAGGGAAAATAAAGGCAATTTTAAGCCGGCGAGTAGGGAATCACTGTTATTGCTTCGACATCAGCTTTTTTGCCCTTGCAAAAGTATGAGGCCTTGAACAACGTGACAATTCACCTTACATCTCTCCGCGCTGATAGTGCGCATGGCCCGCTCTTAGGCAAGCCCATGAGCTGTTATCCACCGTGTCACCCAGCGAGAGACGTGGAAAATGCAACAACTATTTGAAACGATATACTGTCCAGCGCAAAGTTTCTGATTTTCTTTTTCCTTCTAGTCTCTTTTTACTTTAGATCATTGTATTGGAATCATAGGTGGACGACCTAAACACTCTCTTTATTTTGTTGGTTTCCAAGGTGAGAAAACCCTCCTCTTTGTTTAAATCAGTAGTGTCCTCGGTTTATTGGCCTGTGTCAAGCGTTTAGTTGTTGAAACGATCCGCGATAGTATATGGCGCAATACAGTTACGGAGGAGTGACACAACGAGGGAGGCTTGGGCCGGGTTCCGTCCCAGACTTCCCTAGTTTTCGCTATACCGCTACCATCGCGCTGTTTGCTATGTCACTTTGTTTAGATACTAACTGAACGCACGGAATAGGCTACCCTTAGCCACCTTTGTTTCCTTCCTCACCTTTATTGCTTTAATATTCCCGCTACTTCAAATCCTTGGCCTTCTTATCACAAGATAATCGAACCTTATTGTCATTATTATATTTATTTTTTACAGATGACAAAATGGTTTGTTTAGACCCTCACTACTGTCAAGCGGCTGTAGACATGTCTAAGGATGACTTTCCAACGCAGGTAAATTTTTTAAATTAAAAAGCACCCACTAAGGATTTACACCTTGTGAAAGGGGATTACATCTTTAGTAACAAAACGGTTTCAAGATTGTATGACTTTTTCTTGCTTCCAACAGTGGAAAATTTAAATGGCAGGTCCACATTCAGTTCACTTATCAATAAAGCACAGAAATACGTGTGTTCGTTAAGACACAAACCTAAAAACAACGTGGTCGTGAAGAAATACACGCTTCACTACTTGCGTGAAAAGAATGCGCGTATGGGAAGAAAGCTAGTGATGCGGTGCGCACGAGAAGGATCGCATAGATCGATCGCACACACGAAATGTGAACATAAAAGACACAAAAACGTGGAGGAGTGGTGCGCGTGAAGAAACGCAAGGGTAAAGATATTCGGGCTTGAAGAATTTTTTTTTGTAATTACTTTTTGTCGCTTTTTCATCAATTCATAGAGTAAATTTTTCGATTTGAATTTTTTCTTGCTTTTAATTTTATTGATTGAGCGTGTTATTTTGCTTTCAGTCTTTTCACAGTGTTCAGCCACGCACAATGTCGTTTAAAAAAATGGATCCCTCGTGTACGATAGGTTTTTATTGTGATACCAAAGCTGACTTTGAGAGATTTCGACAACAGACCACAGAGGTGAGTGCTTTATTGAGCAATTTTTAACTGAGTGTCGAAACGAAATTGCATCGGTTTTTCATTACTTTTCTGTGTGATCAGTTCAAAATCTCGAGCTACTCTGTGGGCCAACCAGATGCAAAACTAACGCCAATCACGACTCGGTCGTGTGCGTTTTCCCGCGCTTTGGGCAGTTCGGTTGTTTTTTCTTTAAGCTCTCATTGGCTCAATTTTCCTTTCTTCTGATTGGCCGTTGGTATTACTTTGTTTTTGGTTTTACATCGCACAATCGAAAGGCGCTCTGGGAAATATTTTGGTGTCTTGTTAGACTGGTAAGGGTTTCGGCCACGAGCCTTTTTAGAACTTGTCTTAGATAAAGTGTTGTTCTGAAGCTTTGTTTATTTATCTTTAACTATTTTTTTAGGTTTTACGGCCTCCGATGCAGCGCGGTGATTATCCTATGTTCATCTTCGCGTCTCATCGGAAACCGATGGCTTCCGAAGATTTGGTTCGCAGCGCGGACCTATCCGAGAGCCTTATGGAGAGTGATAGACCAGAGAGATCAAACAACAGTGTCCCAAGTCCGTCGACGTTAAGCAGCAGTCCTCCAACTGAAGAGTATGTCGTTCTTTGACAATTTCTAGAATTCAATACAATCTGTGTAAATCTGCCAATCTTGACCATAGTCACCCCAACCCCCCCTCCCTTCCCACCTTCTGACCTCCCTACCCCTGACTACTCGCTCGCTGTCCAAGAAATGAACCTAATCACAGTTTTTCAAAGGAAAGAAATTACTTTTTAGCACGATATCTCCATTTCTTAGCACAAGTGGGCTGCCGTTAGTGACAAATTAACCTGTTTAAGAAATTTCAAAGACTTAACCCTTCCACACTTGGAGGTGTTCAACAATTAAATTCTTCTCATAATTTCGATACATTTTCTAGCAGGAGGGTGATGAGAATATAGAAAAATATCTTTCGAGGAATATTTTCTGACGTTACATTCTCAGAACTAAAATTATATGAAATGTATGGCAGACAGTTTTGAGAATTTATATCTGGAACTTGAGAGCGAAAGGTCATAGGCATGTTTTGCATTACCAAGGGCTCCCGTAGTATAATTTAACCGAACAATTCCTGTGTTGTATTCGCACAAGACACTTTTACTATGGCAAGTGTACTAGCCAAGAAAAAACTGTTTCCTGTATATACCGGCTAGCGTTTGAGACTTATTAAGAACCTTTGTGAAGGAAAACGTATTGGAATAGAACTCCCTTCAACTCTTAACCTTTGACTCCCAAGATCTAATTGTTAATTCTCCCCTCTAGCTGTTACACATTTCCTTGTTAATTAGTTATGAGAACTTGGTGCTAGATCAAGGTAGCGGCTTCTACCCGATAAGTTTGAGTATTCTCATTACCCATTTTCTGAATAATGTATAAATATTATAGGGAGAAGTTTCATGTTAATCGCGTCTGGGAGTTAAAGGGTGAACAGTTTCTATGATAGGTAGTCTTTCCTGGACAGGCTGTCTCGTTCGAAAACTGTCGTGGCAGTTCTCTAGGCTGGGAGATTTTTTAGAGGAAAATTTGTTAACCCTATGACTCCCAAGATCTGATTTCCAAACTTCTCCCATCTGGATGCCACATATTTCCTTATAAATTAGTTACGAGAATTAGGTGCTCGATCAAGGTGAACAATTCTACCTGATAAACTTGAGTGTTTTTGCGGAGAAGGATTTATTTAATATAATTGCCAAAATGTTTTATTGATTAAAAACTGTGGAATAACCTGCCATTTTAATCGTGGGAATGATTTTAATAAATTTTTATCGTGCCATGTGAGGCACTCGTGAATTTGAAATAACGAGTTAATTTACGGTTACTTGTAGCAGTTATTTGTTTGTCTCAACTCTCTGCTACGCAATTGCGGTTGAAGTTTGTTTGACTATCAAATAACGTCAGGGAACGTTCTTTTCGTCACGCAACGCTTCTTAAAAGGTGTGACGTGACAGAAGATAAGTCAAGCCGTTTAATTTTGAAATGAAAATATTGACATTGGAATTGTAAATACATTAACATTCCGAGGAATATGAGATTTGTAAAAAGCTGAGAGATTTTTATAATTTTGATAATAAATGATATTAATCTACAACGTCGTTTTTTTTCCTGTAGTGTATGTAGGTTTTATTTAGATGGTGTTATATTGTGATTTGTTATCTTAGAACATTTAGTCTAAAGTTTTCAAGTGTGTCATTTTTAATTGGGGTTAATATTTAAGAGAATTTGGTTTTATCAACTGAGTTGATAAAATGAATCGGCCACTGATGAGAGATTTTTAAAGTCGAGGCTTTGAGCATTGGTTCGTCGTTAGAGCGAATAGCCCGTTCAAGCTACAACGCTATTGTAGAGGAAGAATGAAATAAAAAAACGAGAGAGGCTTGGTCGGGCGCGTAATGACCAGACCCAAACCTCCCTCCCGTTTGCTATTTCGCTACGTTAAATGGATTTGCAGCCCAACAGAGTGTGGCTTTTGGAGTTTGAAAAAGAACATAGAGTTTAATTATTAACAAGAGGATCTAAGATCGTAAGTCGGGCTGCAGGTAGACGCGCTGTTACAAGTGTTGACCATTCACAGTGCGCAGTGGTTCTAAGAGAAATACAGAGGTATCATGGTCCCGGTTTGTGGGCGTGGCGTAAAATTTTTTCACCCCTGAGAGGCACCAATTCTACAACAACACACTGTCACATATTTTTGGTGCAATACCCTGACAGGTATCACAGAGGCTGCTGCTGTGGACCTTTTGAGGCTGAACAGCCCAAGAGGTACTAAACCGGCTTTTAAAGATTTCCCGTTTTAAAGATTCCCGCTTTTAAAGATTCCAGCTTTTATAGATTCCCCTTTTTAAAGATTCCCGCTTAAAGATTCCTTATTTTAAAGATTTCTCATTCTCCATTCCCCATTTCCCTATTCCCCGATTCCCCGTTCCCTGTTTTAAAGATAGCCATGCAGAGAAGTATATTTCATCGTGAAAAAAGTGCTTAACTAAATTAAACTGACGTATAGATGCAAGTGAAAGCCGCGGTAATCGTTTTGAATTTGATTTGAGGCATCATCTGTGTGTTTGGGAAGATTGGAGTCACAGTGACTGATTCAGGCTAAGATGAAGTTTTATGTTATAGTTCACAATCTGTCAAGTCATTGGAATGACAGTTTGTAAGGGCTGGTGTTTTTGCTTTTAAAGTATATTGTTACACTATGGTTGATAAAAAGATAAGCAAGTTTAAGTAATTTTTCACTTTTTATTTTCAACAAGCAAAATATGATTATTATATTTATTATATTACTTAATAGCTGGAACAACGTTTAGAAATGTTACATTTCGGTATGGTAACAGAAACATGTTAGAAATACTGTCAATGTGGTTTGACATCTCGGGAAAATAAACTCAACAGCGAACGCGTGGGAACAGTGTCTTCTCACTGGTTGACATTCTCTGGGTTATTTAAGGCGTGTCAGAGAACGGGGGCTTTCATAAACAAAATTTGGATTGTTTAGATTTAAAGTCTAATAAAACGGTAAACAAGGCTAAAATAAACGTATCAATGTCTCATATCAATGTTTGAAAGAGGATACTGCAAAAGACAATAGTGAAACACTCCTATAAAACCTCCTGTTTACTACAATGAAAATTAACTCAACGGTAAACGAGTTAACGTGTGGGAACAATTTCTTCTAAATTGAAGTTGGTAGATTTAAAGTCTAATGAAACAATAAACATGGCCAAAATAAACGTATCAATGTCTCATGTCAATGTCTGCTAAAGAATACTCAAAAATACAATGGTGCAGAACTCCTGTTTGCTACAAAGAAGTCAAGCAAAAGCAATGCCGAGTACAGTGTTTGTGCTACTGACGCGCAATTTCATACCTTTTGTTGTCAAAATAACTTCACATAGCTTGTCATCATCTATTTCTTCTATAGTATCTGCTTCATTGTTATCTTTGTTGTACTTTTCAATAAACCTTCCAATATGGAAGTGAACAATGAATACCAAGTGGTTTGGTCACCTTCTTTGACCGAAATACGTGCTGTCGTAGTTTTCGTAGAATTCTTGATGAGAAATCGTGAGTTGCAGTTCATATACCTGAGCATTGGAGAATTTTGCTGAAATTGGACCTTCTTGGATCAAGTTGCGCAGTTGTAAAACACCATTATGTCTACGCTTTGGATGTTGTCACAGGTTATCTCGTTTGTTTTGAGTTCGTCTTTTGCGCGTTTGATTTGTTTTTCAGAGATTTCCGGCAGATTTTCAGTTAATTTGTTGAAGACGGTATCTCTCGCTGAGGATAAGTATTTTACGCCTTTAAACTGTCGAAGACGAATGTTGTGAATTTCATAAAAACCTCCCTCTGTACTTTCGATTTGCTCGTTCCACAGTGTGATTGGAATATTTCCAAATTCATCTACAAAGGATCCTTCCCTTTCAATTAGATCGGTTTTGGTAGGGACAGGTTCCACTCCTCGATCTCCAAAAAGAATCATACCACGAACTGTGACACTTTGGTAAACTCGAATATCCTCAAGATCTGTTGTGGTGACCACTGGTGTTTTGTTGTTATCGGTGTCACAAGGAAAATCAACGTTCGCTTCCAAGGCATGGTTGATTTGCGTAGCTGCGTTCACCCAAATTACATTCTCTTCTGTTGAGTGGTAGGTAAATTTGGTTAGTTTGAATGGTGTGCCACCTTCGGCTTTGGTTTCCACATTGGCTTTATGTTTTCTCTGTGAAAAGCACAATCCTGTTATTTTCTTTTCCCTCTCTTGGACTGTAAATGAGAAGTAATCAGATCCTTTTGCACTTTTTTTCACTGGGCTGATATTGTGGAGATAACCAATAATGGTTGGATCTTTGTGTAGCTGGGTTGAGATTTTCTTCGGGAAAGAAGTTGAATTTGGTTTTGGCACTGTTGTGTTGCACAATGATGACTCAGTTGCTCTTGAAGTTGACGGGGCGCCTGATGATGGCTCAGTTGATCTTGAAGTTGACGGGGCGCTTGACGCAGGTGTACGTGTAGGCACGTTTCTTCTGTAAGAGTTAACATCTAAAGAAATAAAGTATTCCTTTGTTATCAGTGATTATATTTTTCAGGAATAACAACAACAATTATAACAATCCTTTATTAACCCACGTAACATTAAGGAATTTCAGTATGAAAGAGGAATACCTTTTTTTCGAGACACTTTGACGTTATCCGATATTTCAGTGGCTACATTTACTCCAAAGGCTTGAAGATGCAACTGCGTACGGTGCGGGCAAGTGAGATGTTATATTAGGACTGTTTGGACAACGCCCGTGTAAGCTCTGAGTGGTTTACTTTCTTCGGATCCCTTCGGACTCGGCCCAGCCCGGCCCGGCCCGGCCTGGTAACGAAAATTTCTGGATGCCTGGAGTTTGTTTGAATTCATGGATGAAAGTTGTTTCAAAGGTACGTATGTTTGTTTTCCTAATTTAACGTTAACTGATTTAATTACTGATAAAGTCCAGTTAGTACGTATTGTAATTTTCGAGTGCTCACGTAATCAACTGGACATGTCTTTGTTTTTTGCTTTATTACCTGTGTAACAATGATTGTTGGTATCTTCAAGTTGATAACATCCTTGGTAAAAATTGCCTTGTAATACTGTAAAATAACCTATCTCATGACAAAAGTTATATCATCGAGTCATGGAGTACAAAAGGTTGGAAGCTCTTACTGAATATTCGAAGTTTATGTTATTTTTAGTTCAGTAGCTGTGTCCAAATGAAAAGTTATAGGTCATGTAAGCTATTGAGGCGTAATGTATCTGAGACGTTCCACATACTATGCGATACTGGAACTGTTTTTTCTATACAAAAGCAGAAGCGTAATACGTTATTGATGTACATTATTTATAAAAACATACTTAACAGCATTTATGCAAGGGAAATATTTATATTCCTTAATATGAATATGATTCTTTATACATACTGCTAAACTACAGAACCTGTCTGAAGTGTGGTCTTGTCTCTATATGGTAAATGGTTCTAAATGATCTTTAATATCATTGTCATTTGTCTGAGGTAGAAACAGTGTCTCTGTCAGAGCTATTAGGTCACTATTAAAGATACTGAAATGAAATTTAATATAAAGACTATGTTTTTTGAGAGATCTGACATTAAGAAGAGTTATAGACATTTGTCTGTCAATGCAGGAGACATTTGTCTGTCAATACAGGAGGCTCTAAAGCACAAGTACTTCTTAATCTCCTATATTCTTCATGTACTTTAAGGTTTATTCATAAATGTCTATGTTCTATCTGTCCAAGTATATGAATGCCTTGTAAGGTAGTAGATTGCCTTATTGCTACATAAACTTGTCCATAGTTAAAAAATCTTTGTTTCACAAGTTCAAAACTTATAACAATTTTGTGTAATGTTAGTCCTTGTACCTTATATACAGTGCAAGCCCATGCCAATGTAATAGGGAACTGCATTCGCTGTATTTCTGGCGATGATGGCTTACCAGGTCTCATCTTGAATCTTGCTAGGATAGGTTCAATGGGTACCAATCTGTTTTTTTTAGCAAAGGTATTATTGCATTTGTCAATTAAGGCCTTTCCAGCCAAACTGTCATCAAACTTAATATATATTATTGATGGTTTTTTTGTGTTCTTATTCATATCAATTTTGATAATTGTACCCATTTGACCATGAATAAGCCTGTCTGCTATGTCAATATTAGTGGTTAACATAACTCTGGCTGTTTCTTTGACAAAGATGTCATGATCAAGTCCACCTGTCTCTGATCTTACTGTTGCTAGTTCTCTATCAATATCTTGTTTTCAAATATTGGCTGGATGTTGATCAATGGCTGTCAGTTGAAATAATGGTCTTTGTATTTGCTTTGGTTTTGCATTGTTATGCTGTGTAACAGGATTATTCTCAGCCCATATATGTAAAGAATCTGTTGGGTAGTTATCATCCAATGGACTTGTTGACCTGAATTGAATGCACTAAATATCTTCATCAGTCTGTGAACCAGTTCTGAATCTATTTAATTGTTCAATAAATGGCTGGTCATATTTTTGTCTGCCTCATAATCTCTGTAAGCTCAATCATCTTATAGACATGCCAAGGGTGATAAAGGTTTAAAGCATCATTCTTATAGTCTTCAAAAACAGGTTTTCTTTGTATTGGTGGTAGTTGATATAAATCACCAAGAGCAATTACGCTTAAACCAGCAAATAATTGAGAATCAGAGGTAGCAAATATTTCTTTTAATCTCTGGTGAATATGATGTAAAGCAGTATTTGACACCATAGATATTTCATCTATTACTAGTAGCTTTAATTCTGATAATGATAGTCTCATTTGGGTTCTTTTTTGATCTGACATGGCAGGCAGTGTATCACCTGTATTCTTAGGGATTGCTAAAACAGTATTTATTGTAGTTCCATTAATGTTAATGGCAGCTACTCTAGTAGGTGCTGATAATAAAACTGTAGGATTCTCAGGATTCATACCTCCATATCCAAATGTTTTGATTACAGTGTGATAGGTTGTCTTAATAAGGTGACTTTTTCCTGTACCACCACCTCCAGTAATAAATATAGATAAATTGGTTCAACTTTTTTAGGTTTCATGCAGTTCAAATTTTTCATTTTGTCCCTGCACCATGACAGGACTATGTCATATGCTTGGTGTTGTTTTTCATTTAAGGATCTGATAGATTCCCTCAGTTGATCATATGATATTTCAGCTGGTTGATGGTGCACTGATATTCCAGTTTGACCATGTTGTTCAGTTTGTGAAAAACTTCTTCCTAGATGTGATGGTTGTTGTTCATTGATTCATCTTGAGCCTCCAATTGTATGTCTTCATTTTCCTGATCACCAAAGGAATCATACGAGTGGATTATGTCATTTTGATTGTTTCTTAGCCATTCTAGTGCTTCTGTTACTGCTTCTGCATCTGGTTCAAACATTTCTCTGTTGTGTTCTACAATATTTTTAACATTGGTCTCATAAAATTTAGATACATAAGTGTCATCACTATCAAGAAGAGTTCCTTCATGTCTCCAAGGATAATAAAACATTAATAAATGACAGAAATACAGTTCAGGTTCCTTATGTTTGTTAGGTTTGTGATATCTTATAACTGCTTTAATTTATCTTCGTTTCATTTTTTCATTGGTGTTCATGAGCCTTATAGCATCTGGCAATGAGTCATTATCCAAATGTTGAGCTTCAATTTCACTGTCAGTTAGAACTTGTGTTTGAGCATCAATAGTTTCACTGTTTTCTTTTTGATACTCTTTGTAATAATATGCAACAAACTCTGTTAAACAAAGGTCATTGACTGCTGGTATATTCAAAGGTCTTATTGTATACTTTTCAATAACGTTGGATTTAAAGATGTCTGTACTCTCATCATCAAGCTCTTCAAGATCCTGTTGTGAATTTGTTACTATCAGTCTTTTACCTGGTAAATCTGTACTAACAAACACTGTTGCTGGAAAATCTTTCTCAACCATAATTCAGGCATACAGCGATACACACATTCTTGTGAACTAACTTCGCGACTTGAGAGAAAGGCAGCCCCAATTTTTCTCAGTCCATCTCAGCTTATGTTTGCAGCTTTTGCTTCTTTTACAGCATTGATGATTACCTGTGAACATTCAGTTTCATCCTTGGTAAAGTAAGAACATATATATGTTATACACCTGTAATGATTAAATACAGGTTGCAGATCAACATTTACAGCAGATCCTTTTATACCAGCAATAAAGTAGTTGTTTATAAAACAGCTGTCTTCTGGTCATTTAAGATGTAGTTCATAGTTAGAATCAGGTGAAATAGAAAGAGCAGTGTAATATGCTTCCTTATTGATGCCTTCTAAATTAAAAATGTCATCATCAGTTAATGTGGAATCATAGTTAGGCTTGCTGGGATTTAAAACAGCATCTATTTGTTGTTTAACTAAAGACAGAGTTTCCTTGTGCTTGTCTAGCAAGTCAGATTTAATTGCTTCATCCAGGTCATCAGACAGTGGTTCTGCTACTATTGTTGTATTTGTGAAAAACTGACCAAAATTGAATCTACACTGAATGTTTTTATATTTCCACAGGATCTGGAATGGGTATGCTTTTGATATGTTTTCACCAAATTGTGTAATTCAGGATCATCTTCCTCACTTGGCATGTAGGCTTGTACATGTTGATCTATGTAGTCTATATAGGCCTGTTTGTTGTCATCAGTCAAGTAAGGACAGTTTGAAGTCCAGATTAATGCATGTAAATGGGGATAACCTCTCATCTGAAATTCTATACATAATGCATAATAAACTATTTTTCCAATCAAATTTGCTTTGCTAAGCAACACTTCATTGAAAAATGTCTCTGCTCTATATTGGAAGTGCTTAACAACTATAACAGGATTTGTATTCAGCATTTGGCACCTTTTATTGTAACTTTCAATGCATCAAGTTCCTCGTTTGTTGTCTTTTTCCCTTGCATTTTGGCAATGATTTGAGTAGTTCTGGCCATCTAAGATCAACACATGACAGCATCATAAACCACGTTGGAATACCAAGTTGTTTCACCATTATGATAGCAACTACCTCATAGTATTACATAAATTTTTGCCAGTAAGATGGAGTACCTGGAATTTGTCTCAAAAATAAGCTTGGTCTTGAAAAATCAGATTTTGTAAGCCTTGTGGATTGGATCTTAATTGAGCGGCAGTGACAGAATGACCATGAACCTTTTTTAATGCAATATTGATACTGTCCGAAACTTTTTTCTGCTCAATTATGAATTGTGCAAAGAAAAGATACTCTGGGTTTCTAGCAAATTTTCCACTATAATGTAGGAGTCATGCATAAAAGTACTTTACTGGTGATAACATAATTTTACATTCAGCTGTGTACCCATATCTTCCCTTAGGAAACAACACTGGGAAAGCTAGTTCCTCTCATTGTTTATCAGTCATGAATGAAACAGGGTGTTTGTTCTCTCCTGGTGCAATGCTATAAATTTCATTTCCTGATGACTGTTCATTATTATTATCTACCATCACAGGATAGTTAGGGATAATGGATTGCAAGCATGTTTGATTGATTGGCATTCTATGCTTGTTTGATTGATTGGCATTCTATGCTCATTTAAAGGGTCTTCAATTTCTTCATTATTATTGTTTGAGTCATTTAAGTCATTAATTTGATTTTGGAATGAAGATTTTTCCTGGTTTACTGGTATTGAATCTTCAGTGTCTTCTACACAATCATCTGTAACTGAATTGTTTTTATAATCTGTTGCTTCATTTAGTGTTATAGAATTATCTGTCTCATGTAGTACAGTCAGATTTGTATCAATATTATTAACATCAATTTGTATGTCTTTATACAATATATTATTTGCCTTAAGCAGTGGCAAGGCTTGTAAGACAAAGTGAGGCCTTACTGCTTGAAAGTATACATGACCTCTGAATTGTAACTTTCTTTTGAGTTTTAACAGGATTTATTAATAATACCAGATCTCTCAGGAGGGCGTGGCAAAAGACTACTTGTCTGATCACATTCAACCATTACATTACAAATTGCACCTTTTACTTTCCTCTGTTGACCTTTGAGCATAACAATAATCTTTTCAAATACTACTCTCTGAGCTATTAGTATCTGCTCTAGTTTTTCAAGAGAGGCAAGCTCTACTGGTGTATCATCAACATACATGTTGTTTATCACAGCTTGACAAGGAACTTTACCTTGTTTAACTTTTGAGTTACGTGTGTTACAAATACACTCCTTACCATCAAATGAAGTCTGAATGCTAAAATAGTTTTGATTGGAGTATTTAGTACTTGAGAAGTTTTAAACTGATTTCTTATACAGCACTCTATTGCATACACAGCATACATAATAAGGACCTTCTCTGATTTTCTCTTTGAATTCCTTTATGCAGACATCAATAGTTGGGATTGTCTCACTCTCATGCTGCAGTCTAACTTTGTATTGGATTTTTTTTTTAAGAACTTATCTGTTTCAGTCTTTTCTTTTTTGGAAAAGGTTCCATGTTGTCAAAATTACATTTTTGTCTGTGCTTTTCCATGATGTGTTTGATTTGCTTAGGGTCCATGTTAGATGTGGAAGACAAAAATTGCATTTCATAGTGAACAATATCTGTTTTAAGTTTCTTTGTAACAATGTTAGAAATAGCTTGTACTAATGGTGATATACCACTTATTTTTATTTGTTGTATTGCAGGTTCACAAGTATCTTCACAGGTCAATAAGGAGGACATGTACTTTGCTCTGACTGTTTGTTGAAAAATACAAGTAATGCAGTAACTTGCAAGCCACAATAAGAAACCTGTATTTCCACTGAAGTTGTTGAAAATTACGTTTTCCAACTTGTTTTTTGTATTGTTTAGTAGCAGATAACATCCCATAGCTTTGAGCTTTAAGTTGAACTGATATCTCAACTCCACACATATCAAGACTTGTGTACAAATCTGCCATTTTTCAACACCTGTTGATGCCCATGTTACGATATAATTTATTTCCTTGGTCAGCTATGCAACAAAGGGTTCTGGAATTCCAATAACTACAAGACTTTGCCACTGAGTAACACATTGCATAAAGCCCCACAGCAGATCATTGTTGGCAAGAGCAGTTGTGTTCTTCTCTCAAATTGTTCACTCTAGTTACTTCATATGTACTAATCTGCACTCCTCCAAGTTCATAATTGTCACTGAGGGAGTGTATAGTCTGGAAATACTGTACTAAGCCCTGAATAGATGGTACCTCTAATAGTACACATGTACCTGAGGGATGGCTTCTACCATATTCGTCTCTTACATGAGAGTTAAATATCTTAACTCCCATTATCAGTATGATAGATACTGACACCGATACATTCTATTGTCGGAGTAAATGAAGAGTAATTTTGTGTAATTTTGACGAGACAGGAATGTTTTTTTAAGAATTCGCCTGCACACTAACTTCTTTATTTGTTTGTTTTTACGTGAGAACTTTTCTAGTTTTTTTACAGGTATTCTGCTGGGCTCACGACCGAATCGTCTTCGCACACGGTAATCACCATTGTTAATATTACAACGATTAACAAACATCGCATAATGAGACCTGAATTCTTTTGCATATTTTATTTCTTTTGCAACATCATTTTGTTGTATACACAACGCTGATTCGCCACACTTTTGTTCTATACATGGCGCTACATTGTCCAATACATCACATTCATTTGACACCACTTCGTTTGGTACTAAACATTCTTGCTCAACAATATGCGAATATAATATACGCACAAAAGCGACAAAACTAATGGAACAAATGGAAAAATAACAGCTGATAATGTACTCTGTTTGAGCAAAAACATAACGAATGTAAGCTTAATAATCACGATAGAGGTCACATAAATATAAAAATTACGTTTATCCTCACTCTGACGAAAGTCCAACATGGCATCTTTGTCGTCGTTTCCTAGGGTTTGATAACGAGGCACCTTGTCTTTATCAGCAAATGTTCTTCAGTCACTCTGTCCACATTTTCTGTTCACTGATAACTCATTTGATTTCTGGTTTGATTCTAATGAGACCTTCGCTAAATCATTTGACTCTTGCTATTTTGAGTTCGCGGAACGACCCGTTTCGAAATGTACGCTCATTACACAAGCCATCTTTTAGAGCGGGTCTACCGCGAACGGCGTGTGAGTCTGTATGCTTGAGCGTAGAAAAGATGACACCATTCGCTAAGATATTCGACAAATCCGCCATGTTCGACGTGGTGGAAAGAAAGTTACGCCTCTATTACGTGTCTGCGGTATTCCCCATTGCACGTGACTGAGCTTTGTGGAGACCCGAGGGTAAACCTATAGTCGGTCGCCCGACTAATTATTTGGGTCAGGGTCAGGGTCAGGGTCAGGGCCTGCTTGAGGGCTCCCTCTGGCATTGCCGCACTAATAACGCGCTCGGTACTCGTGAAGTCCACGCAAGTAGGGCCGGCGAGCCTAGTGGAGGTCTGCGAGGGGTTTACCACGATTCTTTTACCAGACATCCTGCACACGTTCGCTTTCCGGTCCGAATCTCGCAGGCTAGCACGCTAACAATCTCGTGACGTATGAGTTGTCACACCAAGATTAGTATTCATACTACTCTAAAAATATTCTCTATGGTCATGACAACAAAAACTGGGAAAGCGGGGATTGCGTGGTGGAGATAGCGTTCGCCTCACATCGCAATAGAATACAAAAACATTAAGTTCCTCTTTTTAATACCTCTTAGTTTCTGGTCAAGAGGTCGAAAATAGGGTACAAATCACAAAAGGACCTAAGTCAGGAGGCCAGTAGTAGTCTGGATGTCCTGCAATAAACTAGAATATTAATCTAAGTGATATATGGTGTTAGTTCCTTCTCTACAGATAATTTTTGCATTTCATTTAAGTATCTTGTAAGTGATGAGGTAGCAGTACCGAAGTCGCTCCTCGTTGGGCGCAGCATGCAACTCGCGTTTCTCTTTTAACACCAAACTCCATTTGCCATTTTTCTCCAGCTCTTGGCATTTTTCACTGAAACCCAAACCCACTGGATCGAAGGAATCCACGCGGATGGAGAAAATAAACAGACCTCCTGAAAGAGCAAAAAACCGAAGTTATAGTACCTTTCCCTTGTCCCCTGGGGGAATTTATTCGCCTCATGATACGAAAGTACTCGTCCTTTACTGATTTCATTAAGTTAAGAAACAAAAGACAAGCAACGCAATACATGTTGTATTTGCAAAACCTTTGCTTCGCTGTGTAGGCTACGAGCAGTCCCTTCTTTTCGAAGTCCGTCGTGCAAGTCGAAAAAAAATCGGCCAAATAAAAGTTGATGTTCGCGCGCCCCGCACAACTCTGGGAGTACGCCTCACTCCCAGAGTTCCGCGCGATGCGCTAACAATATTTTTTTCACTTAAAAATTATTTTACTTGTTGTCTGTTCACCGTATAACAGTTGCCGTAGCCATTCAATAACACAAACAAAAATCCCCGAACTAAAAATTATCACAAGGTTATGTGTAAATTACCTTAATAACGGGAAAAATGGGGACACCCGTGTTGATCTCGGGGATGACCCGAAAGTGTTTTGAGGGTTTCCCGAGGATATCCCGACGGTATACCGACAGAGTCTTGGGGGTAAAGGGCTTCTGTCAAGTGCGCTAAGGGTGTCTCGTGAGAGTTTACAAACTTCAATACGTAAAGCTGTGGTCGTTATCTTCGTCATAGCATATTCAATCAATATGGATTAAATTAAACTTAAAAACCTTTTTTTCTAAATGCTATCATACCAGGTTTTACAAATCTTGCACACTGTTCGATTGCCCCAGGTTTCACTTGCCCATATACGATGGTGCCTGCACACAGCACAGTATCATATTCAGCAGTTTCAATCTCTTCCATGTGCGTGTCCTTCAGAGGAGCACAGATGAGTTTCTTGTAAATGTTCCTGGCTGCCGCAATATTCAGCATTTCTTGCGAGATGTCCAATGCGTCAACATTGGTATAACCTCGAGCTTTCAGCATCTCACCAATTCCTCCCGTACCCGCTCCGGCATCGAGGATTCTTATGTCTTTCCCTGGGTTTGGATAAACCTCTTTATTTTCCATGGTTCGATCGAACGCCTCAACGCACAGAATATGCCCTTTGTAACCAGTGTTATCGCTAATCTGCGAAGGCAAAAAGATACAAAATGACAGTCAAGGGATTACTGGTTTCCCGCATAGGCGACATTTTGGGACCAAGCCCCGTTTGTTTAAAGGATGGATAACTTGTTATTTGTTGGATAATTATCCACTGGATAGCCATCTTATACACCGGATAAGCTCATCCAGTGGTTAAATTTCTCCATCCTTTGAACAACCAGGGCTAGTATGGTAAAATTTACCCGATACCCCCTGATTAGGCTCTGTTGGCGACGATTGACCCCCCCCTCCCCCGCTACGTTCCGCTATACGTCCCTTCCCCTCCCCGCCGATAAATACTGATTGGCCCCTTGAAAGTTATATATTTAAGAAGAACAGCCGGTTCATCATTTCAACGACGACGTTTGTAGACCTCAACAGCAACCCCCTACCAAAGTACCCTTAAGTGTCTGAGTACCTACCCCCCCGTCTACGTTAGCCTAATGGAAGGCCAAACTTGGATATTTGATGCCAAATCGTTATCTTCGCATCGGCTGTGCAGGATACTACCAAACAAACCATGAATTTATAGCGGTTACCTTTTCCCAGACCTGAGCCATTTCGTCATACGCGAGTTTCGAGTCCTCCACTGGCGAGTCTATGGTTAAATCCAAGAAACGCTTGGGATATTTAACATCAGCTGTCATCGTTCAGACGTCGATTTGTTCAGCTCAATATCTACAAACAGTTAAGCTACCAAATTCACCTTTTGGGCTTTAGATTTCATGTGTAGTATCACGTGATTTTTGATGTAAACAAACCCCGAAAGTTCGGACATTGAGTCGAGCTCGCAGCATGTGTCCAAACTTCGGCTTTGGAAATTTTTCTTCTATAACGTCCCACCTTCAAGAAGCGTGTCTTCGCTCAAAATTGACATCTTTCTTTTTTCATTTATTTGATCGTTTATTAAGCAAGTTGTCATTTGGCGGCCGTTGAAGCAGATACGAAGAATGTTACAGGAAGCGTTGCGGCATGGAATAATCGAATTAGTTCTGCATAAAGTGATGTATCTGATAAGGTATTTTCAGGGTGTTTAGTGCGTAGATTGTCAGATAAATCCGCTTAAAAGTGGGAAGTTATTTAAGAAAAATTTCCAAAGCCGAAGTTTGGATACATGTCCTGCGAGCTAGACTCGATGTCTGAACTTTCGGGGTTTGTCTACATCAAAAATCACGTAATACTACGCGTGAAATCTAAAGCCCAAAAGGTGAAAAGCTAGATCGAACCACAAACGAGAGAAAGACACCTCTAGAGAAGCGGTGTGATAAGGCAGGCGTCAAAAATTAGCATCAAACTATGAAGAAGGTCGGCAGTTTTTCACTTCCTTAACATTATTTGCGATGTAGGACAGGCTTTTCTCCGCTAGCGGAAAGATTTGAGACGGAGGAGGAGAAGGAGCTGAGAGAAAGGTTTGCCGGGAGTCAAACACTAATATTCAAGTTTAGACCCCTTGCAGACTACCCACCGATTGTTCAACACCTCATAGATTCTAATAATGAGGGCTTACTCGCACGCTTAATCAATTCATTCACCCATGGTACTCAAAATTTGACCGTTCTGAAAGCTTCCTAATAAATTTTGCGCAGAAAATCGGGAGAATGTCCGCAGGCTACAATTAGAGGGAAACAAAAACATTCTGCTCTCTCTTTGAAAGAACTGGTCACGCAGTGTTTTGTTACCGACAAAATTAACGCAAGGGGTGACTGCAAACTTTCAGCTAAGCAAGATGAGAAAATAGACAACAATGATTCAAGATTGCGCATATAGAGCTCATAGAGTAGATCAAAATGGAAAGCAGATCAAGTGAAATTTTTAGCCGACCACGACATGGTTCCATTCGTGTATGCAAGAAAATACAGTCAAATGTCTTGAACACGGCCCCTTTATTCAAGCGGTCATCGATCAAATTTCCGTAATTTCCTCTCACATTTACCGTAAATTAACTCTCAAGTTGCTTCTGAGGCAGACGCAGCCCTTCTTTGGCAAACGGAGCGATTTGCACCACCGTGCTGTACGACTACTCCGCGGGCAAGGGCGGGGTGACCGAAAAATACAGGACCACAGACTAGGGGTCAAATGCTTTAATTGATCACTTCATGTGACAAGAAAAAAAACTTATAAAAAAATTTCCTCCTCAATACCTAGAATCTTGGTTAATAAACACCAAAAAAAAAAAAAAAAAAAAAAAGCGTAAAACAAACAAAGACTAAAACAATTGAAGGGTACAATGGGTTCTCTGATTACCATAGGGAATGTTAATACAGCCATGGCCTACCCTGCAAAAAGCAAAGCTGTTCCGCCCGCACTGACTAACAGGAAAGCCAGCACGCGCTACATATGTTCAACCTTGACCGACGAAGACTTTTCTTTTTTGCTATGACTATTTACCTGTTTTCTATTCCAATGACTTTAGATGGAGTCGATGATAAGAACAGGAAAGACTGCCTTCTCAAAATCTAATGAAACGGAACGTTATTTCAAACACTTTGTTTGTCGCGCTTTAAATAAACTTCGCGTCACTGTAAATGTTCGCCATGAGACTTCTATTGGGTTATGACAAAATTTCATGGTTTGGATAAAAAAAAAATCATCGAGCAATGACGAAAATGTAAAAAGAAAGGCCCACTGGTTCAAGATCATTGCGAAACCGAAAGTTGAGTTCTGTGCACAACTTTATACGTACGTCTCTATTATTACTGTTTTGTATCGATCCACGTATCTAGGATGTTCATTTAAATAACAATGATTACAATATGGAAAAATAGTCTGAGATTTGTCACATCGATCGAAAGCTAAATCGTACTCTGCAAAGCCTAAATGATCACTTCAGTGAAGACCAGAACGACAATTCAGGTCAAATTTTCTCGGGGCTTGCCAAGTTCAAAGAACATGACAATTATTTTGCAATGCAAAATGCTTTCCATAAAATCCTCTAACCCACAAGATACAGATGAGAAAACTTTCATGATGAAAAATTACATAGCACTTACCTATTGAGGTAACGACCGTCTGCGACTGAGACACGGAGAAAAGTGAAACCACTGGCGAGAAAATTTCTGCGCAGATCACAAGTCCGCTGAGGTTGTGCAATCGAGTGTTGTGAAACCCTAAACTGTAAAGGGTCTCTTCGCCTCTTTTCTATCACTAATGTCTGCAGTTAAGCAAAATAAAATTTATCACGTTGGTGCATTTGAATCGTAATCGTAAATACCAAATGCGCAACAGAGCTTGTAAACATAAAAATGCAAATTTGAGATCTTTCTGGTTGACAACTATTGCGTGACGTGACAAGGAGTAATAAAACTACATCTCATTGGCACATACCGCGAGCGTCACGGTAGGTCCAATATCTTGTGTTAAGTGGAGCACTCGAAATGTGAACATTCAGGATCGATTCCGAGCATTGAAGACACCTGGTAATTAATTCTTTTCTTCTTTTTTTTCCCCGGTGAATGTGATTTTTTTTTTTTCAGTTTTGACTGAATATATGAAAATCATGTACGTGAGATGCGAATTAATATAAATGAAAATAATTTGAGAGCGAACTTTACAATAGCGAATATTGCTTTCGCAGAAGTAAAAGGAAAACCTGAAAGGAAAAATTCAGACCCGTACAGGAGTTGCATCCAGAACTGGTGCAGTGCTCCACCAACGAGGTCTGTCCCGACTGTGCTTTGCTGAAAAGTTGCTCACGAGAATGCCAAAAAGTCGCTAAAAAAAATTGCCAAAAATCCAAAAAGTTGCTCCCTAAATTTCTTGACATTTTCAAATAAACGTTCATTAAAGCTACATTTTTCTTTCTTCGCAATGATAAACCTAGCTTTAAAGATTTGCTCGCAAATGAAGACGGCTTCTAACCATCCATGGGAGGTAAATTAACACTGATAGCTATCTTGTGCGTCATTCTTGCCGATTATCTGCACTACTATTTGATAAAGGGCCTACGAAACATTCAAGAAATTTGCATAGATCGAAGTTTTTATGAAATCGTTGACTTAATCCGCGTGCATGGTATGTACTCTAAACACAAATGTTGCTCAAAAATTTATCAGTAAGGCAAAAATTGCCTGAGGTTGTCAAATATAAAAAGTTGCTCCAAAGACCAAACGTTGCCGTGCAAAATCTACCAACTGAGCTAACAAGCCAACTGGGTGCTGGTCATTTTGTTGGTTCGTAATAAATCCGTAAGGTGACGATGAATAAATGAACCAACAAAATAACCAGCTCTCATACACTTGGCTTTTTGTTGCAATTGATAAAGCACCGCACTGGTATCGCAGAGGTCTTGGGTTCAACATCCGTGCAGGCCTGAATTTTTTTTTCAGGCTTTGTGTTAGGGCCTGTTTGCATGGAGGTGGGGGACTCCAGGTAGGTGAGGTAACCCGCCTAGCCGTGGTCGAAAAATAAAACGCGTCTACATGCAATCTTACAACCCCGGGGTGCTGGGGTGAGGTTTCTTGAGGTTGTTGTTGCACTTGCAATTAAGGAGTTTTAGCAGAGGCGTCCCAAGCTCACATCTCGAAAAGGACGAAAGATTAATTCTCGTACACATATGTATTTATTCATGAAAGCGTCACGCGTTGTGTTACGCGGTGTTTGGTTTCGCGTGAAACCTTTGACTTAATACGTTCGACGGAATAGTTTGGGAAACCAAATATGGTCGATTTACAATGCTAAATATTCCGAAATGTGAATATTTTACACTCCTTGTGTATTCGTTGCGGTTTCTGGTGATTTCTGCCATGAAACGGTTAGGAAATGTACAAAGTTTTAAAACATACATGTTTCGCTTTTGAGCTTTTTGCCCTGAACCGCGACCCCGGCTAGGCGGGTTACCCCACCTTGACACGTTTACATGACAAATTGTCACCCCGGCTGACAGGGTTACCCAACCTGGCAGATCGGGCAACCCGCCATGGCGGGTCACCCCACCTATCATGTAAACATGATCAAAATGAAATAAGAAATTATATGGACAGGCGGGTTACCCCACTTAGGTGGGTTACCTCACCTACCTGGGGTCCCCCACCTCCATGCAAACAGGCCCTTAGAAGTAGTTTCCTAACACTCGTCGTCCAGTTGACTTTTTGTTTTATTCCCTCTTTTATTACGTAAGTTAATACAACGGCGACTAGCTCTGGTTTAACAAAGAAAAGTGTGGGTCACCGCTTACAAAGGTGACGCTTACTGAGCTGTCAATCTCTAACCTTCGTCATGCTTTTAGATATATGAAATTCATATATTTGCACTGCGGTGAAGAGATGAAATTAAGAGCTCCTCGCGGCTAAGAACACTACTGAAATAAGTAGTTGAAAATAGGACCTGAAAAAAATTCAGGACCGTACGGGATTTGAACCCATGACCTCTGCGATACCGGTGCAGCGCTCTATCAACTGAGTTAACAAGCCAACTGGGAGATGGTTAATGTGTTGGGTCCAAATTATTTACACTTAACCAGCGAATCACGCTAAGTTACGCAGAGCGGAGTGTTCGCATACTAAGTAGGTACCTTCGCGATGTTTTCGTTTTACAAAATGACTTTCTACCTTAAATTTCTTAGATCTTACGGTCAAGTTCGGGCGAAACAAAATCAAGATTGCTAATAAAAAAAATATAATAAACTTACTGACAGAATTAAAATCGAAGTTGAGGAGATATCCTGAGAGAAAATAATCCTCGAAGACTGTCACATAACGACAGAATAAACAGAAAATTCGGAGAAGAAAGGGCGTACCCAAGGCACCGCCCCCAAAAGAGCTACGTGCTATTCATATAAATTACCTGATCATAAATTCAGTGCGGAAGATGAAAAACAATACCTGTCTACACCTTAAGACACCTCTAAGAAAAAGAGGTGTCGATCGTGCTAAGTAATGCCTGTAAGATAAGACCACCAAAAGGAATAAGAAATGATACACTGGCTTACTATAATTTTTATTGAATGGCTTATGCTAATATATTATTTCCATTTATTTTCACGTTCAAATGAGTCAAAAATCACCTATAGTGAAAATTCTTGCTGGATGCCACTTTTGTCTTGTTTTCACCACTGCTCAAGTTATGTTTATTACTGCGAAGATCATGTGCATGTTCTTTTTGTCAGTTTTGTCTGTTTTTCTATCAGATACATGAATTTGATAGTTACCTGTTACCTTCCTTGCAAAAATATATGACAAGAGTGGAAAAGGCTTTCTTTCGGCTTTTCAAGTTTCTCCTCTTCATCAGTAATATTAAGATGTCTTTTTTTTTTTTTTTTTTTTTTTTTCTTAATAAAGGAGCCTCGTAAGAGGCTTTGAATCGTGAACAAGCGGAGTTAGGTAAAGGTTCCTTACTTAAGCTTACCATGAATAAATGGATAAAGTTATGAATTTATGTCACGGACGATAGGATTTAATTATTTCCAGTACTAGTTATGGAGAAGGAAAACTATACCACAACAAAAATATATGTGCTTATTAAAAAATTTCCAAGCAAACAGCTTGCATAAGTATACAAAACATTTGCAATACACCTTGCTGAACGTCAAATCAAGACAGACCGCGATTTACATTGATATGAGTCTGAGATATTTTGTACAGAAACGCTCATCAAATTTTTTTTAGTCCAAACTGATGCAAATGAGATGTTTTTGAAAGTTCTTATCAAGATAATAAAGGAAAGTTAGTTCATGAAAGCCGAACTATATTACAATATTTCACTAACCACATATAAACTTAAAACGAAACAAAAACACGCGGCTTTGAGTGAAATCATAACTTTAAAACATGAAAATGATATGTTTGACCACAAAATAATAAACAGTCATGATGATGTGTCATATCAAAAGTGAAAATGTCGCGGAAAATATCTGTTAATGTTCATTACTTGTAAAATACGGTATGACTATCTCACATTTTCATCTAAGTAATCCCTAGCATTATGAGAAAGAAAATTGTTTTGTAAAGCCAAAAATCACCTCGGTTGGCGCAAGCCAGCGAGGCGTTTACACGAAAAGGTTTTCTAATAGGAAGTGTACAGAAAAAACTAGTGTTATGTACACTACTAGTGAAAATTTGTCGAAGGAAGCTTTACTCTAATTGTCCAGTTATTTACTCCAGAAAATTTCGTCGTTGATAAATTTTTCCTTGGCTGGTGTAAATGCTAAGTGTTAACATGTAATTTTATTGACTTAAGAGGAAAGAGAACTTTGCCAGAAAAAAAGTTGTCTTATTTTTATTTATACCGAAGAAGGCGTTAAATACTTGTGATGCAAACTTTTTCCTAAGGAAACGTTTGTCCGAAATATCGAGAGAATTCATTAGGGAACTGTTGCCAAGAAAAATATTTGGGAAGAATTATTAACAATAATTTTCCAGTTTAGTGGAAAGGGCCTTAATTTCGAAGTGCTAAATTTTCACGTCTTAATCCGCTTCTGCGCCAAATTGCAGTCTTATGTGCCATCTAAGTTTTTGTCCGTTTTCTTCTTTACTCATGATAAACACAGTTGAAGAGATGAGTTTTATTCAAAATAAAATGTTTGTATTGTGGTGGCTTGCTGTGAAATTAAATTAGGCAGTGGCTCAATTCTGGCGATTAAAATTGTGATATACACAAGCTCGCAATAATCTTCCACTGAAAAAAAAAAATATATTGACATCTTTGGAATCACTTGGCATTTCTGATCAAACTTTGAACACACTCATCAGGTTCGCATTAGGTTTCCTGTGGGAATGCGGTGAATAATTCTTAATTCTGACTGCCGGACATGCATCAGTTAAGTTTATTTGAAACCGCTCCAGGAAATGCTTTCTCAAATGCTTTTAAGTGTCGACAGCGAAACAGTTTGACAGCATGCATAAGTTTGGAAAATTTGTTCACTAAAAAGTCAAAACAACTATTGGAATCGCTTGAAATGTCTAGACCGAAAACATCTGATACTCTTAGGAAGTTTGAAATAATTATTGTGTAGAAATCATATGAAAATTTCTGTCTGCATTTAAACGGGCATTCAGTCCATGTGGGATCTTGTGTCCTGCCCCCGGGCATTCAGCCGCGGGGGCAGGACATAAGATAATTATATCATCGTGAGAGAGACAAGATCATAACAGCTACCAGCTGGCGGTTTGGCGCAATACGTAAACACCGAATACAGAAAGATTTAATTTATGATAATAATTTATCAAGCTTGGGGGCAGCTTTGACAAGGTTTCTTTAGTGTGTGGAAAGCAAAACGTCCTTCTGAAACTAAAACAATGTTTGCAGTAGTTCTAATGTTACCTTGGATGTTATCTGCTATTTTGATTTCAAAGAAAGGTGAGTCTATAGGTTGTTCGATAGTAGTAATCATTCGCAAAAAGTTTATGAGGAAGAATCAATTTTGTCTGCATTTTTTTCCAAGGTTGGGAACCTTGAAAAACATTGCATAACCACAGTACTTCTTTGAAACTGTAACACTATGGTGTTAAAACACACGTAGTCCATAAAATGCCGTAAATATTCAGCAGAGAGCGTTTGATCATTTTCTGTTATCTCCAGTCGCGTTGATACTGGACAAAAATGAAAGCATTTTCGAGAAGATCAGTTCATTCGAAGCATTTATCAAAGAAAAAAAAAACAACTACGCGTTAACTGATGAGAATCTTCCGAAACTGTTTAAATTTTTGCTGATATAATATGATCACCATTAGAGTCGGGGTTGCTTTCGTTGTTTTTTAGCTAGTTTAAATTTAATATCAACAATAACATTATTTCATCTTTTTCCTTTGACATTTCTTAAATACCCTTTGCATTTGCAACTATATTTTGAGCTAAACAGGAAAAAAAATTACGATTTTTTTGCCTCAATGACAACAGTACCTGATAAGATTTTGTTAAACTTAAATGAATGACGTGATACGAGCATCTAAAAGCAATTTGCAAAAATTCAACATAAACTTAACTAAAGGCAACCTTTATTTCCATAAAACCTGTTTTTATCTCAGTGCATGACGTGGTTAAGAAGAAACTATTAAAATTTGGAAAGTAAAAATTCACCATTCTGTTATTAGTTGAACACGTCGAAACAAAACCGATGTAATCGGCATTGCATATGACGCACGAAGATTGTAACGTAAAAATATACTTAATCGTGCATTATAAATGATAGAGCAGATCTTGAAAATGGGCATTTTTACATTTGATGATTACTTCAGGATGATGGCAATAAATCATGTCGAAACCATTAATGGCATCACTCTCACTTACTAATTATGCACTTAGTTTCAATCTCTGACTTCTCGCCTAGTGTGGAAGCAGATGTATTGCGCTATCAAAACGACTGAAATACTCTCTCAGCGTGAAAAACGCTTTATTCAATGCGGATATGCTTCCTAGCTTTCCTTTGAATAGTTCATCTTTCATTTCAATTATCTCATAGCCAGCCGGGTGTTTCTTAGGTTACAAATATATTTTGACGCTGAACTTTCGAGAAGATTAAAAAGTTCCCTTAAATTAGTGTCAACTTATTCTTCAGCCGATGTGGCGAAGTCAAAGCGACCAATTAGCAGGTTTGTCAATGGGTATTTTTATTCATTATTTTAAGCTCAAATCAATGAATCTTTATTTACGCATCTTTAAGAACCAAAGCATCTTAAAACTCAAAGAGGACATGCTGTGTACAGTAAATAAAGACAAAACACGTAGAAACATGAATAGACCCTGCATAATGGATCTAAAACATTCTTTACCTATAAATTGTCTTCAAAGACAAAAAACACCGACATAGTATTGCATAAATGTGCTATTTTCAATTTCAATTTGGTATTTATTTCAGTGATGTATTTTTCAGATGACGCAGGGCCACAGGATTTTCAGTATCTCTATTTATGTCAAGTGTTGCCCTCTATTATTACAGCGTTTTAATATCAGCATGATCATTATTATTATAATAATATTATTGCTACTATCATTAAAATCATGAAAATTACAATTTCCTCGACTGTGATTGGTTTAAAAAACTCCCATTTTCCACTAATTCACTTGCCAAGTTTTTATCGGACAGTTCAATAAGCCAACCACATTCAAAACTGTAGCTTAAATCAATCAATCACAACCTTGGTATTAATCGCCATGGAAACAGTGTACAGACTCCTCAGACTCTTAGACTCTCTCAGACTCACGCCTCCTTTGTCAGTCTTTTAATGCAAATTTTCCCTTTTTTTCCCCCTGACTTAGTCATTCTTCTTTTCTCGGAAATTGTAATTTTTATGATTATTAATATACATGAAAAAATTACTCAGCTCTGATTGGTTAAGATAAATGCAGTTTGCAGGTAATTAAATGCAGAATAGGGTCAATTCAGTGTAAAGAAGTGACAAAACCAGACATTCTGATTGGTCAATAAGAAAAGAAACTCACTGATAGCCAATCAAATGCGAGCCTTGGATGTGGCAACATTTGGATACGCTAAAAATTGGCGAGCGTAACAATGGCCGGCGTTTTTAAGTAGGTTTCAGTTTCACCACCGTAACAACAATACAGCAGCTGAAAAACAGCTCTAATAACGAAAATATTGTAAAAAGCACAGCTTTTTGGTTGCACAAATTGCACGAGCCCATAGGGCGAGTGCAATTTCGTTAGTCTTGTAAAAATTTACTCGTGCTTATTTATTTCAAATTGCACTCGGAATCATGCGAATTGGTAATAAAACTTCGTGTCCTAAAGAAAGATGTTTTTCGTCTTGTCACGAGCGTGGGACAAAGAAAAAATTCTGAGTCCCCATGAGGAATCAAATCTAATACCTTCGAATTCCGGGCTCCGATGCTCGCTCCGTGTCGTCAAATTCGGTCTATAATCATACTCGTGAAAAACAGAGCAAACTCCCGCTGCGCAGTCGTCAGGTTTTGTAAGCACTCGTATTGCCGGAAATACAGGCATAGTAAATGATTTGTAATAAACAGAAATGGCCTAATTGTCTTTTGGAGAACGGTTTTTTTTATCTCGAGAGATAACAAAATCCGAGAAAGTACAAATGGACAAGTCGCCTTTGGTGAAATGAAATATTCAAACAAAAAATGCTTTTTACAATTCAGAAACTGTGCAGCCACCATTGTTGAACTGATTCAATAAAAACACGATTAACTGAAGCGTTAACTGAAGTGGTTCAGTTAATGAAATGAAATGTTAATGTTAATGTTAATGAAATAACAAACGGTTGAGCTAACTGTACTTTGGTTCCGTGACTTGACATAAACGGTTCAGAGTAGTGTGAAATGGCTTAAGTTATCGGCAAATGGTTAATCGTAAGCCGCAGTGGCTTAGTATCGCATCAATCTACTCACCGTAAACTGAAATGGTTTAGTGTTACAGCAGTTGGTTAACGCCGTAACCGCCAAAAATACAATAGTGAAATAGACAAGTCAAGCTTGAAATGGAACAGTCTGTAGTTTTTAGGCGTCCTTTAGTTGTAGTTTCGTCGTCTTAAAACAACGAATCGCTTTATCACGTTTCCTAGCTATGGTTCCGACTGTCTCGACTTTAAATGTGCCGTTGCGTAAAATGATGCACTTTATCAATATTTTGTCATTTCTATTGTTTCAGATTCTTATTTTATCTTGAGGTAGTAAAATGGAGAATTCTTATCATGGTCACGCGTAACCATGGTATGAATTTTCCATTTAAAGTACAGCAGTTTTCACTATAAACCATTTATAACTATGTAGTTTTTAACTATATAGTTTAAACAGTTTTTAGGCGCCCTTTAGATGTAGTTTTGTCGTCTTAAAACAATGAATCGCTTTATCACGTTTATTAGCAGTGGTTCTGACAGTCTATACTGTAAGTGCGCTGTCGCGTAAAGTGATGCATTTTATCTGTATTTTCGTCATTCCTTTTGTTTCAGATTCTGATTTTATCTTGAGGCGTAAGCATGATAATAATTCTCCATTTAAAGAACAGCAGTTTTCACTGTAAGCAACTAAAAAGAACAAAAAAACAATTTGAAACTGGCTGATAGCAATTTGAACTCCCAACATGGTTAAACCGCAACTATTAGAAATTTTACGATCTCAAGATAAAATCTCTAATAGTTGCGGCTTAATTTAGCCGGTTTTAAAAACTATAAAAATAGACAGTTAGGCCGGACTGCATATGGCTACTGATATAGCACAATTTTTCTGTAGCATTGAAAAGAACCAGGGGTTGTATGATGATAAGGTAGCGTTGCAGAAGATTTGTCTCGCATGCAAAAACGCATCCCACATACTTATGAAAGCCCTGTTCCACAAGAGAAAGATGATTCAAGAATATAGTGGATAATTGACACTCAACTACTAATATTCCGTGTAACATTCGAAGCGATTCAAAGAAGTCGTCACTAGGCGTTGGACGACCGAAGATGTTCTGAAACAAACAAAAGCCAAGATCAAGGAATATCAGGTAAAACTCGGTAGACTTCGTTGTGGATGAAGAGGTCGTTCGTCTTCTATTGTTACTATTACTCACTCATTCAACAGGACAACAATATGGCTTCGCCTCCATAGGAGGCAGTAGCCGTAACAATTGGAGATTAACTGAAAAATATCTGGTTTGAAACGATAGGAAAATACGTTTTTGTGAAATGTAAGCTTAAGCTTACTTTCATTTTCACTAACTGATTATTAAGTTACTGAATGTTCAGCAGCTCGATGAAAACGGTTTCATACGAAATATCATTTACTTACTAATGTTGCGGGAAGATGATGAGGGTATAAATTTATTCGCTAACAAGCGAAAATAGGCAAACATAAAAAATGATTATTACTGGAATAAGCCTCGCTGAGTCAAGAAGACGAGGCCACAGAAATAATTCTTCCTGTGTTGAAGGTCGAGTGGACGGCGTGGCGAATACCTCGTTACCGCGATCGTTCTGGCGAATTTCGCGCCAAATTTGATGTGAATGACGTAAGGGTTGTGACGTAAGACCTCACATAGACTGTTTCATTTCAAGCTTGACGTATCCACTTTGGCAGTTACAGCGTAAACCAACTGCTGTAACACTAAAACCATTTCGGTTTAACTAAACTTTTTGTCGTCACGCTAAACCATTTGGGGTCACGCTAAACCATTTCACTTTACGGTGAATAGATTGATGCGATACTAAGCCTCTGCGGCTTGGGATTAACCATTTGCCGATACCTTAAGCCATTTCACCAATGGTGACGTGTCCATTTGTATTTTAAATACTGAAATCTTCTGAGATAAGATAGACCGTTCTCCAAAATACAATTAGACCATTTCTGTTTATTACAAACCATTAATTATGCCTGTATTTTTGGCGGTGACGGCCGCCCATAACTATTGTCGTTCGAATATATTTTGTCCAGTTATAAACTGATAAAAAAGAGGTCATATAAAGTAAAAAAAACAAATTTATAAACTCACTGCATGGTCTTAAATGTACTCGCCAAACGAGGCTGATTAAGTGCGGGGCAAAAGTTAAATCAAAACCGTCAGCTTCATGTTGAAATGATAAAAATGAAAATATTACCTGTTTTAACCTAGGGTTAAATTTTATTTCGGCTTCATCAAAATACTCAGTATTCTTCAATGCAGGCACTTTAAAAATGGTTTTTAAGGTATGGTAATTGCTTTTTAGACGTAGTTGATTTTGGGATAGGTGCGCAAGCACGGAGAGGAAATAGTAAAGCAGTGATATAAAGAACCACGAGCCCATTGGCTCATGATAGTACTATATAGTTCACCCTCCCAGTGTAACATCACTTGATTGTCGAGATTTACGGGATTGTCGGGACTTTCGGGATTATCGGGATTGGCGGGATTGTAGGGATTAACGGGATTATCAGGATTGTCGGGATTGTCAGGATTATCGGGATTGTCGGGATTGTCGGGATTATCGGGATTGTCGGGATTTTCGGGTTGTCGGGATTGTAGGGATTGTCGGGATTGTAGGGATTGTCGGGAATGTCGGGATTGTCGGTCTTACCTTTTTAGCAAAATTTTTAGAAAAAATCCACAAAATAAAAATGAGTAACCAGGGCTAAACATGATAAAAAAAATTACGATTATTTTTTGGTTAAATATTCTCAACACATATGACTCCATGATACAGCCGTTGATTAAATGCTGGGAACTCGCAAATGTATTAAAAATTAATGATAAAGAAGCCAAGGGTGAAAATTTTGAATAAAAATGCGCTGTGAAGGTGATAAAAACCAGGATTACAGTCAGTAGTTATTTTTCAAAAAAAAAAGATTTAATATTGCTTAAGCGGTGGTTGAAGTGGTGTCTGTTCTGTTAGTCGGGCAGAGTGCCATCACCCTCGAGTTTTTTCCTACGGCAATCACCTTCTTCAAGCGCTTTTGGGTTTTAGAACTCAGAGGCGTGATTGTTTATCTAGGAATGATTGGAAATTTTAAATCCTTCATAGTAATTTTTAAAACATTTTTAATGACTTCTTGTTTTCGAGTACTGACAAATTTACTCGTTTCTATAATATCGCCGGAGTTTTTGACGTTTTCGCAAGGGTCAAGATTCTCATTTTGAACTTGGTAATCCAATATTTCAAAAGTGCTCTCTGCAAGAGCTTCCGTGATGTTTTGTTTATACAGATTTTCAGGTTAACGGCAAATTTTTCATGTTTTAAAAATAGAGTCGCATTATTTGACGACAAGACCTTTCGGCGGTCCCAAATGTATCTAGTCTCTACAATTTAAAATTGCGTCATAAATTCTATTTTTACTGTAATTAGCTTTCCAAACAGGAGAGTGCCCTACAAGCTAAGGCCTGTGTGTGACGTAAATTTCTACAACTTAAGTAGAATAATTTGATTTGAAAACATTCAAACTATAAAATCCATCGTTATTTTAATGTATTTCTGAGTTCATGATAAATCCTTGTTATTTAGTCACCTCTGCAAAACCATTTTTACAGTTCAGTATATTGTTTGTGGCATTTTTCTTGATATTTCGCAAATTATCACTACGCATTATACAATATTATTAAGCTGTCACCAAAAAAAAATGTTAAAAATAGAACATCTTTTGCATACAAAATTACTCTTTGAAATCTCAAACCTGCTTTACCTAACACATTTATCGTATTTCTTCTTAAATGTTTTTAGTCACTTTGGTGCATGATTTCCCAAAGAATCTCCATGGCGCCATAAAAAGGCTCTTAAAATTCACCACCACATTGTCAATATTTTTAAGATCAACTCTTGCATTTTGTATCTTCGCGGTTTCCGCACGAACAAAATTGCCATCGCATCTGTGACAATTATATTCTCATTCTTTTGTTTTTTCTGCCAGCTTGTTGCAGTCGAGCATTCTCTTCTTCAAATTTTCAATTTCCGTCTCGATGTTGTCCATATCTTGATGTAGCCCCCGTACCTCGCTCACCACATCCCTTAGTCCGGCTTCCAAAGTTCCAATTGTAGAGGAAATTTCACTTTCGTCGAAATTGTCCTCGCATTGTTGAACAATGTGTTGAAATTCACTTCGCTTTGTCATGATTCTGGTCTCTGATGATGCCATTTTGTCCAGGAGACATAAAACTAAACTTACTCACTTGGTGTTTAAGTCGAATGATTGAGAGGGTCAAATGAAGCTGTCAACAAAACACGTCGTGTTATGTTATCGTGTAACTTCCGGTCAACGTAGTTCCGGTCAAGTGCAAAACTGCTATCTCGATCATTGTGGATTAAATCTTCAATCTGTAGTTGCTTTCCCTTTTAAAAATGATTTTTCACACTATACTTTTTGTTTTTAGTGGTATCTTTTTTGGGTAACGTGTACGTTCTAGATAATGTGTGATTAATTCAAGCAATGTGTAGGTATTAAAAAATAATAAACGACCGCAATGTGCCCATAATTTGCATTTCGTGTCATGAAATAATGACATGCAAGTCAACACCTTTTATAATGCAAACGAAGTTTATTTTCATTCGCGTAAATTTTAGGGATAATCATAATGAACTACGCATGTCTGCTATCACCAGTTCATCTTAAAGGCCCGTCTGAGTTTTAGCTCTCTAGCTCTTTCTAGTTTTCAAAATTATTTTTTTGCTGGTTCTATCGTAATTATTTTGAGTGCGAGCTGTATGGCGGCCCAACTGATGACTTGCGGTCACGTTCAGAGCCACAGGCTGCTATCGAACGTGACTCAGACAGCTTCACTTAATTAAAGAGGACAGTTTTTACGTCGACTGGATTTATAAATGTTAATTGCGTTTGGGATTAAGCATTTCTCCCATACTCAACTGCGGTGAGGATTGACTCACTCAAATTTCTCAATTGGCAAGGTTCGTGAGGATTTAACTTAGAACAAACTTCCATACTTTGAACAACCTTCGCGCAATAGTTATCATAGTTACCATAGTTACGCAGCAGGAAGATAGGATGCTTTCCAAGAGAGGGACTAGGACAGCTGTTCTTTTGACCTCGAAGACTTAATTGAAACCATTCAGCGAGAACGGTCTGCTTTGAAGGTGTATTCGAGCAAAATAAACCCACACAAAGGAGCCCGCCTCAACAGTAGACGCAAACCACAGTGCAGTGGAACCAAGCAAGGCAAAGCGCTTAATTGCGACATCTTGGTTTTGCACCTAACATGTTAGTAGCCTGTTCTACGCGTTCAGATAATGGAGGGAGTGTTAGAGCCGGGGGGGGGGGTCTGGGTCGGGTCGCGTAATGAACGGTAGTTAAAGCGTTGAAATGGAAGAAATGCACAGTTATATAAGAGCGGACATGTTAGAGAAACGATCAGATAAAGAGTTCAATTCTCTATACAATCTAAAGCTAACAAACAGCAAGTCTGTTTTCAAGATTTTAACAACTAGTTTGAATAACTGATTAAAAAAAGGGTAATCTTACAGATCATTGTTGACACGATGAACCAGGAGTTATGTGGTTGTTCACTAACACATTTTCACTGATCGCAATTTCAGTCAAATCTTTTTTCAATATCCACAGATTGCGTGACTGCAACTCTTGGTACACCTGAGCAAAGATTACGTCACAATCTATCACAGGACTACCATCCTAATGTGCGACCTGTGCTCACGCCCAATGACATCATTAATGTCACTTTTTCTTTCCGCTTTAGCAGGATCGTTTCACTGGTAAGGGAGAGTTCTTCCGCTTTGACGAAGATGAATTTTTATTTGGAAGTCCATTCTGCGATAGTAGTTATTCAAGAAATGATGGAAGAGCCAGAAAGGTTCCCAAGCCTGGCCTGGAACATGCCAATTTTCTTCAACCCCCTTGACCCCTCAGAGTGACTGCCATCTCATTTCCCCTCACAATATTACCTCTGAATAAAACTTATAGGTCATGTACTTCAATTTCCCTCAAATTAAAAAAAAAAAAACAAAAAACCTAAGGAATTGACATTGGCCCACTCTCTGAATATCCATGTCCACCTAATCACAAATGAAATATGAAATAAAAGAAAATAAAGGTATAAGTTCTTCCTATTTTTTCCGTTCCTTTTCATTTTAGGACATAAAAAATCAGGTTCTTACTACAGACGCTTGGATTGTTCAGGTATGTTTCCATAGTCTCTTAATAGTAAATTATTACACCAACACAGGCATGACAAGTGACGAAAATTGACTCTGAGAGGGGAGAGAAGGCAAAAGGAGATGGTATGACCTAAAGAAAGAGATGAATACTGGGAACTGGCGAAATGAAAGGAAGGATAAGAGGGAAGCGAGTAAGCTGGGAATGAGAGAGGAAACGAACGAAAGGGAAGTTAGAATTGAATGAAAAAAGGGTAAGAGAAATACGAGGGACTCAGAAATGGCGGCGAATCCTAGAAAAAAACAAAACTAAAACTAAAAAAAAAAAAAAAAAAAACCGAGCAATAGATCAAAACAAACAAAATCAAGACAAACCAAAATAAAACACAAAACAGGCTCTTCAAATTTAAAACTAGTCTTACCCAGAAGTTTTCCTCACTTCTGACACCTTCGTAGGTAAGCTTTGATTGAAAATCGAACTCAATTAAACCTGTAAGGAAAGCCTATCCTTACCCAATACTCCGCAAAGAGACGGCACTGAAAAACTTTCCTCTGTCTTTTTCATGACAGTCGTGGAAAAATCCTTACTTAAAGTGGGATGAATCTGCTTACGAAGGGTTACATACACTGCACATGTCACCTCAGGATGTTTGGGTCCCGGACACAGTTCTTTACAACAAGTAAGAAATTAATGCTTATACTACTACTGGCATAACTAGAATTCGTTCCTTCTTTCCTAATTCCGTAAACAGGCTCCAGTTGAAAGGTTCGAAAAGCGAATCCGTGTGGGACACATCACTTGTTGAATAAAGAGGAATAGGCGTGGCCTTGTTCCCTCCCCAACCCACCCCCCCCTCTCCTCACCCATTTCCATTTCTTTATTAGAAATGAAGAAGAAGAGGAATACCCAGGTAACAGTGTACGTGATTGCAAGCAGCTTATACCACAATGTCAAATTAAAAAAAAAACAGGATTGTCAGTTTGCTTGGAAATGACAAAAGAAAAAAAACAGTGTCGCAAAATGCAGCGGACAGCACGTACCAAAGTGTTTTTCAAATTTATTCCTTACGGGACTGTGATACACAATTTGCATCTTTGACATAGGCTGGCGCAAAATGATTACCTTTGTTTTTTAAAGCCCAAGTTACTTCCAAATCGTGGAAATAAATGTTCCTACTCTTATTTCCTTTTAATCAGTGCTGATGAAGATGTAACGCTGTCAGGGTTCAAAGAAAAGTTCAAGACATACGTCATGGTTTACAGCGATGGAACCAATAAATGGATGTCACCTGCGACATTTAAAAGCTCCTGTGACATGAGGGTAAAATTTTACCCGTTTGACAAGCAAGAATGTAAATTAACGTTTGGTTCATGGACATATGACAGCAGGTTACTGAGAATGATCAATCCAGCTGGAAAATATTCACATTCAGGTTTGTCGGAGTAATGAAATAATCAGTACGTTATGGGGATGCAGGGAGCGCAAATGGTGCAGCGGTGAGTTACTCGCCTCTTACCGCTGTGGCCTGGGTTCCATTCCCAGACCTGTGATTACATGTGGGATGAGTTTGAGTTGTATTCCTCCAGTAGTAAGAAGTCTGGGTACGAGTCTGAATGGAACTCCCCGCAGTTAACTGTTTTACTTTACTTTGTTTTTCTTGTCAGAAAAGTTTATTGAGAGTGGGGACTGGACTCTGGAGGATGTGACAATAGAAACTGTCGATGAAGATTTCGACTGCTGCGACTATCCGTTCTCTAATATCATCTATTCGTTCCATTTTCGGCGCAAAACTTTGTATCATATACTGTACCAGATCCTGCCTTGTGTGGTGATAATTCTCCTTGTGATACTGAACTTTATCATCCCTCCCGATAGTGGCGAGAGAATCAGCTTTTGTATCACCATATTGCTCTCTATGAGTGTCTATCTCCTGATTTTGGCCGATTCTTTGCCGGAAACATCCGATGATGTAGCGATTCTTGGGTTGTATTACATGTCGACTATATTTCTTATCGGGTTCAGCCTCGTGGGTACAGTCGTCGTGCTTCGGTGCCACTTCGCCGAGAGAAAACCGTCGGCGTCTCTAGTCAAGTTTGCAAAGTTTGTGCTCAGGCGAAACGAAAGAAAGAGAACAAACAACACAGTGTTTGTAAGGTCAAAATCACCGTCAAATCCTCAAGAAACAGAAGAGAATGAAGTAAAAAGGGCGGAAAACACACAAGGCGCTGACGAATCGGCATTGCAATACGTTGTCAATACTATGAAGGAAAAGAGAGAACAGTGCGAATGGAAGGACTCTTGGAGAGAGATAGCAGAAGCGATGGATCGACTGCTTCTAGTTATTTTTCTCATCCTGGGTATCTCAACCACGATAGCAATTTGGATTCGAAAGCCTTGAGTTAAGAACTCCGGTCTTGTAATATGGATGGGACACTACCATCAGATTATTAATTCAGATAGAATAGGGTAATTTCTTTTTCGTAGCTTAGTCCGACGGGCTATAAAAAGGTCACCTGTATGCAATAATTCCCTGTCGCGCGCTTAGAGGGACAGTTCTCAATCAGTTTGGGCGCGGCGGTGACCGTTTTGTTCATCTGTTTGTTTGTTTGTTTTTGCAAATACCTTTCTGCGTGCGACAAAGTAACTTGTGAAAGAGAAAATGCTCCTTACTGATGATAGTGGACCGTAGGCCTAAACCGTAAAATTGAATGTGGGCTTTCTACGTGCGACAAAGTAACTTGTGAAAGAGAAAATGCCCCTTACTGATGATAGTGGACCGTAGGTCTAAACCGTAAAATTGAATGTGGGCTTTCAAGTTTATATTGCATGATAAACTTGGGGCCACAGTTTAGACAGATGTGAGATTATCAATGTAATCTGTTATCATCAGAACCGAAACTTGAATGGAAGACGCTAAAAATCGTCGCTACTTATGAAGCCAGGCTGAAGAAATCAATGCCAACTTTTCATTAAAAATTAAAACAACCTTATATCTAGCTTTTGCATATACCACTAAGTAAGAATCTCTCATCTTTGGTTTTTTTTCTGGTCTCTATGAAAAATTTCCTCCAACACCTTTCAGGCCGGCATAACTCCTTAAGAACTCAGTCAAGTCTTCCATGATCATCAAATCGATCTCTGCACCGTTTGCGAAATCAACGTGGATCGAGTGTGTATGCCAGCTCTTCGGGATCTAAGTATGAATAAAAACAAAAAGCCACGTAGAAAAACGTCATTTTAAGGTAAAGCCAATAAAAAAAACACACTGACCCCAGCTTGGACACGAATGAAACCTTGTGTTTTTACAATATTTTGTTAGTCGTGTTGTCTGTATTGGAACACAAACGAAAAACTGGATCATGTAAAGAACAATGCCTCTTTCCAGTAAAGAATGAGACTGAAAAGCATGCGTAAACGGATTCATGGAGAAAACTCATTCAGACGCAGAATTGAAGTAGCAAAACGCACTGATACAACATTTCACAAACAAGCACAGTCCAAATCGTTTCTTGACACAAGTCTCGCGATTGAATCAATTTTTCATAGGAAATTATCTTTGTGAAAATTCTACAAACTTGTTGAAGCAGACACTCAACCTAATTCTTGTATGCACTTTCAAACTGCAAAGTTTAATAACTTATGCATTGCAATTGTTTCCTTGGGAGAATGTAACTTGAAAAAACTATGTCGCATGCTGAACTTATCCTGAGAGTAGAACACCTAGAAATGGATTACTTGTTATAAAGGCCTCGTTTCAACAAAGTAGCAGTCAGACAAGAAGCTATGCACTGTGGAAGTAAGGTGAGGCATTTTTTATCGAGAATTTGACTACATTTTTAGCTCCTAAGAGCGGTCGTAAATATTCTCAAACAAACTTTCATAGTTTCGCCATGACACTTATTACGCAAAATGATCATCTCACAGCTGGAGCTTGGGCCAACTGTGGCAGTATCGGCCGGCTGGTGTCTGGGTAGCTCAGGTTCGCATCCCGTCAACACCTGGGAGTTTTCAGGTTTCATTTTCTAGCAATTTCTTCAATTGCAGTTCACCTGTCAACAACCAATTGCTGTCATCCACAATTTGAGACATGATTTACTTCTTATATTTATGAAAAATTAGGAAGAACTCTGAGTCAACCTAAAAATAAGTAGTAATAGTTTCTGACAAGAGCAGCTTAGACATCAAAGCGATTGTTTCATCCTTTAAAATCGATGATGTTTGTTGTGCGAGTGGGAGAATAGAATATGAAATTTTGTGCAGGTGTGGGGTGGGTGGGGGGTCTGAGGTGACATTGTCGTTACGCCTGCGTCAGCACCCAGTTGCTGATTGGACTTGTCACTGATGCAAATTTTAAAAATTCAATCTCTCTTTCTTTCCTTTTCTTTTTCGCATTTTACGCTTCTAGTGGTTCCAAACTTATGATCAGAAAATATAAATCACATTTAAAGGGGAAAAGCCCACAATAAAGCGTCTACTGCATCATGTCGAAAACTTTCTTTGTAAACCGACATTGTCAATATTTCCTATGTGGTTTTATCAATAAACAACCTTTGTTGCATCATAAATTCAACTTTGAACTTTGCGTTCATCTAAACTGGAGATGACGGCTTAAAAATGTTGTGTCTTCTTTCAACTGAAGCAGAAGATGTCTGTTCTTATGTTGAATTATAAACAAATATCACAGTTGATTACGATATTGCGTCTCCAAGTAGAGAGTACGCGTCAAAAGCGCCCGCTGTTGTTTTTTTTCATTAAAAGCGTATAACCGATGTCTAGTTTCTTTCCTAAATTTTCTCATAGTTTTGATCAACTAGTAACAGGACTTTGTGTCGTCTAATTCTCCGTAATCATACTCGTAATTAATAAATTGGACTCCCGCTTCGCGGTCGTCCAAATTTGTAAACGTAATCACTTGTATGATTACAGACCGAATTAGACTCCTCTCAGTCCTAGTACCATTTATTATTACACCTTCCCCTGGTCTCTGAAGTTAGGACCTTTTGCAAACCGTGACGGCGACAGAAACGAGGACGTGGCGAAACAAAAGATCTAATGAGCAGAACAATAGCTCAGCACGTGCGTTTTAAAACTGTGTACATTTCTTAATTTTCCTCTGAAAAATAATAACGTGAAATCATCAAAATTTGCGTGGTCCGAGAAAAGAAACCCCGATGGCAAATTGTTAAGTTTCTCCCTGGAACTCCACGCCGCTCTCGTAGTTATGCTGAGGTTAAATTGCGGCGCCATAAAAGATGGTAAACTGTGACGATAGGTTTCGCACCCAAACTGGAAAACTGAATCTTCGCGGACGGCACAATAACAACTGGGGGAAATAACTCTGTAGAGACGACTTGGCAGCGAGAACGGAACTCGTCACGATTTTCTGGTACGCGGAGATCTACTTCGAGCGAGCTTATACGGACGTCAAGGATAAGACAATCTTTAGTTCCACAGTACTTTTATTCTAGGTCAGGCCAACAAGCGACATGACCTCTAGCATACTCTAGTTTGTAATCATCAAAGCTGTACAAGGTACTTGCTTAAGAAGTAACTGGTGTGAAGTGCTATTGTTACACAAATCGCAATATTTGAATAAGGACACAAAGGAGCGGAAAAAAAGTCTCTTTGAAGTTAAACGAAAACTACTTAAATATTCCATCTGTTTCTACGACGGAAAGAATCTCAAAATTAAAAAGACGGATGCAGTAAACTCTGGACCATTAACGTAGAAAACTTAGGTGCGAATTTACAGCTCTGATATAGAAAACAATACCTATCTTAATTGCAGTAGCGCAGCTCAGGAAATAAAAACGGAAAAGCAATTAAAAGTTTCTGCTTATCTATGCAAGATTGGTTTGGAAACCATCGCACGAAAAGAAATTAAAGTTACGAGTATAAACTCAGCTGCCAACTACCATGAAAACCAATGTTTCCAGAAAGACCATTAACACTTATATTTACCTAAAAAAAACCATGTAATAAAAAACAAAAGTGCCGACAACCAGGTGCATATGATGAAAGCGAGTAACAACAAAAATCTATTCAAAAGCTACTGTGGTTTTTATGCATTTTTTTGATTTATTAAAATGAAAGGACTTGAAATGGTTAAATGTGAAAGTTTACGAATAAATATGTTTCAAATAACACACACGGGAAAAATCAGTAAATTTTCCCGTAACAAAACACATCCAGTCATTCGTGAAATTCCAAATGAAAATATATGTTCATTTTTAAATCAATGTCTTTCTTGGCGTTGCCGTCCTAACTGCTAAAGAAAGTAAAATGACAGACGTAAACTAAAAATTGGCAAAATGGTTCCATTCCGATGATTCTCCCACCCCTTAATCCCCCTCTTCTTATTTTGCCATACTTTACTTTAACCTGGATACCCCTGGGGTATTAAGTAAAACTACAGTAATGAAGTAGTAATTATTAGTTTTTATAGTTAGTTGAGAGATTATAGCTGTTTATCAAAAAAAATTGCAGTCATTTACTTTACACTAAAATGTAAATTCTCCTTCCTTATCAGATGAGTAGTACCATCACCTGATGTTGGTGATAATCACAATGCAATAAAGCATTTATATTCAGTGGGAGTATCGATTGTTCCCAGGTGGCACGTACACGGATTCCTTTCAGGTCGCTCGGACAGTCAACATTCGGTAAGAATCCATATTTGTATGCTTAAAATTTATCTAGCCTTTTTTTTGATCGATCAAGACGTAGGGCTATAATGTCGATTGATAAAAAATCTCTTAGCATTTCTTGTATTTAATTCTTGTTTTTAACTTGATTTTCGTTGTATCCACTCCTTTCTATCGAGGTCGCTTCAAACGTATGATTATTGGATGCTAATATTCCTTTCGAAGATTTGGTTGAAAGGGAGTCTTGGTTGTAAACTTTAGCTTGAAAATTATTCAGTTAACATTTCGAAAATATTTAACGATTGCGTGCAAGTAGAGTACGAGCCACACCCAACTGCGGTCTGCAGAGGTTCTTTGTTCAACTTGAGTAGAGTGAAGGTCTGCAGAGTTGAGGAGTACAGAGCTTAAAACATTGCATATAGCTCACGTTTTTTTTAATATGCCGCGGTCCAGTCAATCTAAAAAAAAATTACTCAACAAAAGCCTATTGATATCATTTAATCGCTTTCAACTCAGCTTAAAAGTCTGATAGAATGTACGTGCTTTTCACTATGATCGGTTCTGCGAGTAATGGATTATGTCAAGCGAGAAGATGACACTCCAACAGAAACAATTCAACCTATAAACAATTCAAAATAACTCAACACCTTTGCGGTGGTATCTGATGTTGCGATGACAATCAAGGCCAAATAGCCCAAAAAAGCGCATATTATCTTAAATCATCCATGGAAACATACATGGGAAAAGAGATTCCTTGAAAAACTGAACGATATAATTCCAAAACTTAAAACCATAT